ATGTCCTCGAGTGGAATGCCCTGCGGGCGGAGTGCGTCCAGCTGGCCCTGCAGAAGTGGGTGATCCCGGACCTCATCAAAGAGCTGAGGGCCACCCTCCACGAGGAGGCGCAGCAGTTTGTGCTGCGCTCCTGCACCGCCAAGCTGTACAAATGGCTAAAGGTGGCCCCGTACAAGCCGGAGCTGCCACAGGACTACAAATACGATGACTGGAGCACACTTAGGGGCATCCGAGTGCTGGGCCTGGCCTACGATCCGGACCATTCGGTGGCCGCCTTCTGTGCGGTGACCACCGTTGAGGGGGATATATCCGATTATTTGCGTCTGCCGAACATCCTCAAGCGCAAGAGCTCCCACAACGCGGAGGAGAAGGGCCAGAAGCTCGCGGATCTCCGAAAGCTGTCCGAATTCATCAAAATGAAGAAGCCCCACATTGTGGTGATCGGCGCGGAGTCGCGGGACGCCCAGATGATCCAGACGGACATCAAGGAGATACTGAAGGAGCTGGAGACCACCGAACAGTTTCCGCCCATCGAGGTGGAGATCATCGACAACGAACTGGCCAAAATCTACGCCAACTCGAAGAAGGGCGAATCGGACTTCAAGGAGTACCCGCCACAGCTGAAGCAGGCCGTTTCGCTGGCCCGCAAAATGCAGGATCCACTGGTGGAGTACTCGCAGCTGTGCGATGCCGACGACGAGATCTTGTGCCTGCGCTATCATCCGCTGCAGGAGCGTGTGCCCCGCGACATGCTGCTGGAGTATCTCAGCCTGGAGTTTATCAATCGGACGAGCGAGGTGGGCCTGGACATAAACATGATGGTCCAGAACTCGCGCACCGTCAATCTGCTGCAGTACACCTGCGGCCTGGGGCCGCGCAAGGGCCAGGCGCTGCTGAAACTGCTGAAGCAGAGCAACCAGCGGCTGGAGAATCGCACCCAGCTGGTCACCGTGTGCCATTTGGGCCCGAAGGTGTTTATCAATTGCAGCGGCTTCATCAAGATTGACACCAGCTCGCTGGGCGACAGCACCGAGGCGTATGTGGAGGTGCTGGATGGCTCGCGCGTCCATCCGGAGACGTACGAGTGGGCCCGCAAGATGGCCATCGATGCGATGGAGTACGATGATGAGGAGACCAATCCGGCGGGCGCACTCGAGGAGATACTCGAGTCGCCGGAACGTCTCAAGGATCTCGATCTGGATGCGTTTGCCGTCGAGCTGGAGCGTCAGGGCTTCGGCAGCAAGAGCATCACGCTGTATGACATCCGGAACGAATTGAGCTGCCTGTACAAGGACTACCGGTCACCCTTCCAGAAGCCCAGCGCCGAGGAGCTCTTCGATCTCCTCACCAAGGAGACGCCCGACTCCTTTTACGTGGGCAAATGCGTGACGGCCATGGTCACGGGCTTTACCTATCGCCGGCCCCAGGGCGAGCAGCTGGACAATGCCAATCCCGTGCGTAATGAGACCACGGGCAGCTGGCAGTGCCCCTTCTGCCACAAGGACGACTTTCCCGAGCTCTCGGAAGTGTGGAATCATTTCGATGCCAACTCCTGTCCCGGCCAGGCGTCGGGTGTACGTGTGCGGCTGGACAACGGCCTGCCCGGCTTCATACACATCAAGAATCTGTCCGACAAGCAGGTGCGCAATCCCGAGGAGCGCGTCCGCGTCGCCCAGATGATCCACGTGCGGATAATTAAGATCGACATTGATCGCTTCTCCGTCGACTGCTCCTCAAAGACAGCGGACCTCAAGGACGTCAACAACGAATGGCGGCCGCGCCGCGATGCCTTCTACGATTTCGTGACCGAAGAGCTGGACAATCGCAAGGTGACGGACGCCAAGGCCAAGGCCCTCAAGCGGAAGACCTATGCGCGACGTGTGATTGCCCATCCCTGTTTCTTCAACAAGTCGTATGCGGAGGTCATTGCCATGCTGGCGGAGGCCGATCAGGGCGAGGTGGCCATGCGACCCAGCAGCAAGTCGGCGGCCCATTTGACGGCCACATGGAAGGTGGCCGACGACATCTACCAGCACATCGATGTGCGGGAGGAGGGCAAGGAGAACGACTACAGTCTGGGGCGCAGCCTCTGGATCGGCACCGAGGAGTTTGAAGATCTCGATGAGATCATTGCCCGCTACATCAACCCTATGGCTTGCGCGGCCCGTGAGCTCATCCATTACAAGTACTACAAGAAGAATGCAACGCCAGCGAACGGCAATGAGCGGGAATTCATGGAGCAGCTGCTGCGCGACGAGAAGGCCAAGGATCCCAAGAAGATCCATTACTTTTTCACCGCCTCTAAGACCATACCAGGCAAATTCCTGCTCTCGTATCTGCCCAAGACAAAGGCGCGCACCGAGTATGTGACGGTGATGCCCGAGGGCTATCGCTTTCGCGGCCAGGTCTTCGATTCCGTCAACAGTCTGTTGCGCTGGTTCAAGGAGCACTGGCTGGATCCCACCGCCTCGCCGGCAATGAATACTCCGATGCATGGCATGCGACCGCCTGCGGCAATTCTCAACTCTGGCGGAGGAGGATCCTCGGCGGGGCCCTACAGCATATCGGGGAGCATTGCGGGCAGCGTTTCCGGGGGTACACCGCGCAGCGGCATCAGCAGCGCGGACATCCGTGGCAGTGGCGGTGGCGGCTCCAGTGCCTACTCCATTTCGCATTCCATTGGTGGTGGCGGTGGTGGTGGCTACGGTTCCTCCGCCGCAGCGGCCGCTGCCCACTATGGCAGCTCAGCGACGCCCTCGTTTGGCGGCGCCGCAGTCAACACCCCCTATACGCCCAGCAGCCAGACGCCCTTCATGACGCCGTACACGCCGCATGCCTCACAGACGCCACGCTATGGCCACAATGTACCGAGCCCCAGTTCGCAGTCATCGAGCAGCCAGCAGATGCGGCATCATCATGGACACTACGGGAGTGGGAGTGGCGGAACCCCAAGGAACTATTATGATATGGGGGGTGCTGCTGCTGGAGGTGGCTACGGCATTGGCCAACCGCCACAGCAGCAACATCAGCAGCAACGTGCCAAAGAGAGCCTCGACTGGCAGCTGGCCAACGATTCCTGGGCGCGACGAAGGCCCCCGCAACAACAGCAACAGCAGCAACCACAGCAGCAGCAGCAGCAGCAGTCACAGCAAACGTCCATGGGAATGGGCATGAATATGGGTTTGGGTATGGGTATGGGTCTAGGAGTAAACCTCGGTTACAGCGTCTCCGGCACGACGCCCACGAACGAGTACTCGACAGGCAACAGGAACGTTGCCGCTGGTGCTGGTGCCGGTGCCGGTGCCGGTGCCGCCATATCCTCGTCCAAAGCAGCATCGGTGCGTAGCACGCCGCGCACAAATACCTCGCCGCACTCCATGAATCTGGGCGACTCGACGCCGCTCTACGATGAGAACTAATGGGATCCTATGTGGCGGCTCCTAAATGCCAATACTACATCAACAACAACTACTACACTCTGCAGTCAACACTCAAAAGGGCATGCGGAGGGACATGGACCAACAGAACTGTTCCACTGTCTCACCACTGTTCCCGCAAAACTCTTAAACTATTTGTAGAACTTAAACAAACGATACACAGACACATTAATGGGCTTCAGTAATCGTTTATCAGAAATGAACTAAGATTAATGCAAATTTCGCGATTCCTTTAAGTGCGATCCGGGAAATGAAATGGATTTCGGAGATGATGTTTATGACGATGGACGGACAAAAATAAATGCAAATTTTTTCTGACCAGAAAATACATACAACCCGAATGTTGAGAATTATCCATACACTTTGTATTAGATATTAAGGTATTACAGCCTCCGCCCCTCCCCTCCTCGCCCCTTATACCATAAGATGGTATCCTATGCCTTTCTTAGACCACAATTGACCTTAGGGAATTGGTATTCCCATCTGGAGGAGCTGCTGAATTCATCCTCAAGTCTGTATTCACCTGCGATACGTGGTCTGGCAGATGTGTTGGTCACCAAAGAAACGGCTCCCAATCGAGTATTTGAATCCCCATGATCGAGCCATGGGACGAAGGGATGGAGCAGCAGGAAAAATGTAATAAAATCAGCCATTTAGTAAATGTTTCTCTCCATTTTGTTGTCGGTCTCCTAAAAGATTATGCAATAAATATAAGGTTAAGACGATTCAATTGGCTTTGTCTTGGGTTTTAGCACTATAAGTATCTCGAGCTCAAAGAAAAAGAGAGAGTCTCTCTCTCCCAGTGTGGCCTATCAACTAAGGGTAGTAAATATACAATTAAGACTATTCCATTGTCTTGGTTTTAAACTAAACCACTTCCTCTCTCTCTTTCTCCCAGTGTGGCTTAGCAGCGGGGGTTGTGCTTTCATTTCCGGATTGCAAAGATTTCTGACAGAAATGTAGACCAGCTCAAAAAGAGCTAAGCATGAAATATGAATAAGTTAGCTGTAGACGTTATATGGTACAGGGAATTATAATCCCTATCCTCCGTAAATGTTCACTATTAAATATAGTGTAGTACTCTGGTACAATACAAACAGATCTAAATATACATATGTATATACAATGTGAATAATATGTACAAAGAAACCCACTCGAGACCACTGAAGCAAAATATCCTTCATTTCACGGACACACCACATAGATAAATGACATATCTAGCAGTTGGAGTGAAGAAGTTTTGGGAAGTCTAACCCCAACGTCCAATCAGTCATCGCATAGATCAAACTATGAACATGCACTCCTTTCACCGACACTTTATAGCCTTATAATATCAAAATAAATCGATGCAAGGATGCAAAGTGGAAGTTCCTGTAGATCGCAAAAATGGAACTCATCGAAAACTCAATCTTTCAGTCTACGACTGGACACAAAGATTTACTTATTCCTCAACACACAATCTACCTATGCTATAAACGAGTAGGACTACCTTTTGGGGAGATCTAGTTAGTTTTGTTAAACGAATCAAGTCCTCGATTTGAGGAAAACTTCAGGCTACGCTACGACTGACTCTGTGCTGGAAAAAATTCGAGTGTGGGGAGGGGAAGACACATCCTGTATAACCTTAATGTGTATATATATCCCAACAAATTGCGTAAGTTCGAAATAATGCCACATTTGATGGATACCTTTCCTCTATGGTTAATCGTAGAATGTACGAGTGCACAATATGTGGCCAGACGAGGGGCTCTGTTAGCAGCACTCCGCAGTACGATTTCCGGCGTCCTAGCACCAGACCAGAGGAGCGTACCGTGGTGGGTACCTCCGACCATTGCAGCAAATGCCAGCAGCTCACCTTCTTCATCAATTTGGAGGAGAGTGAGGATGAAGTACATGATGAACAAACGGGCAAGAATGCTGTAAGCCAAAGACAATCCATCGACTACCAAGAAGCTCCAACTAATGCCTATCCCTTTCCTTTCCATTCCATTTCTCACTCCCTGCATCCGCAGCCCGATTGGGTATTGCAGGGCGTTGTGCAGCCCGTGGGGGTTACTTCTTCTAGTTCTGATTTGCTGGATAATAATCCGCATCCGCCACCCAAGGTGCCAGCACTGCAGGAGCGCCATTACCTGAGAAAGAAGCCTCCTCTGACCCCACCATTACAGAGCCAGGAGCAGCAGCACCAGGATCTGGGAGAGAATCCTGCAAGTCCGACCACACCAACACAAAGCAAGAAGCAGCAGCGCCAGGCAGCGTCACTGACCCCACGATCTGCCAGCATACAGCAGCGCCATTATCCGACCCCACGATCGTCGAGCGAGCGGCGTGCGGGTACTCGCCAGCGGAGGCGCAGTAAGAGGCGCACCAAGTCTATGGCGTCCAAGGTGCCGGCAGATTCCTGCTGTCATTTCAAAGATCTCGGAAACTTAAGCAGCTCCAAGACTACGACTACGACAACGCAGCAGCAGCATCAGCACAAGTCCGACCTTGAAAGGATGCCCATACATCCTAGGGAGGATATGCATATGCAGCAGATCGCACGTTATCGGAAGGTGCAACCGTCCAACGAGGCGTCCAGCATCGCCTGGTCGCTTCAGCAGGGAGATGGAAGCGGACATGGCCTTGCTGACATCTCAACCAGCGGCGAGAAACCAGAGGCGACGACTAGTGGCTCTCAGAACTCCCTGGAGCATCTGCAGCGTACAATCGAGGCGAAGCGCAAGGTAATGGAAAATTTGGCCAGCATTCAACGTCGCATGCAGCATCTAGAGAAGCGGAATCGATTGGCATGGTCCCTCAAGAAGTGCCCTCAGCGTCAGTGCGGCGGAGCTCTGCCCACCCCTGACCAGGCTAAACGGCTAAACGGAGGAGAGGTGGATAAAGATGCTGACCTAGATCGTCTTATTCGGAAGAGCGGGGAGGTGGACAAAGGCGCACCCCTGCTCGGGGAGCAACTGCTGGATGTCCTCAAGGAGAAGAGTGGTTTCAGCAAGGATTCGCGAGAATCCCCAAATCTTCAGCGAGAAAGCCCCAATTTGGAGCCCGTGCAGGAGGAGACGACACCTGAGAGGCTTGGGTCCATCGTGCAGCGTTGCAACTACCAGCGGATCTTCCCAGTTCCACCTCCTGGCGAAAACACAACGCTGTCTTGGCCAGCCCAGTCCCAGTTCAGCACAGTAGACGTCCTGGAGAACGAGACCCTGGAGGAAGAGCCGAAGACGAACGCCGACTTGGTGGAGAAGGGCGGGTCCAAAAAGCTGAAGATGCGCAGTGATCCCTTACAGTGCCCCGAAGGGGATTGCCCGAGACTGTGCTTCGTCTCGTCCCTTATTACCCATTTACGAAACGATCATCACACGGTGACCGTTGATGGGATGGCCTTGCGGCAGACCAAGACCTTCTTCTTGGACCCGAACGAGACGCGTCTCAACCAGACCAAGTGCCACCGGATGTTCCTTTTGCAGGGAAAGACTATCAGTTCTATGGTCGACGAGCCGCTGGATCTGCTTCCCGTTCTGTTCATGTCGGTCCGTACCCGGCACCGTGATCTCTTTGTGGAACGCAGCATCAGCTGCTCTTTGCCACAGTATCAGCAAGAGGATGACTCGCACGAGATGCTGCTCCTGTGGCTGTCCACATTACAGCCCACTGGTGGGCGCGTCTGTGGCACACTTGCTGTTCGTTCCCAAAACCGAGCGGACACCACGATGGTGGCCACCGGCAGCACCTACGACCTTCGAGCCAGCCTTAAGATTGGCGCTCTCTTTGCCAGCTCCTCCGTCCTGATCATACCACATGCCTCTCTTCAGCGCTTGTCCAAGAAGCGCAAGCAAATGATAATCATTCAAGCAAAAATTTATTAGAAAAATCTCGCATCTATTGTGAAAATTTATTGTTAATATTATTTCAAAACTTGTACCACCAGACCCTGAAACGAAGCTGCGTACAGATTGATACAAAATTTATAAAAACTATTGTTAATTTTGAGTCAAATATACATATATGTATGTAGAACTTATCTGTTGGATGCAAACGCAGATCATATCTTCTCTCGTGCTAGAGCAATGTAACTTCTCCGATCCTTCTCGGGTGCTGGGTTTCTGCAACTTGAAAGGAATGCGCTCTCTCCCATTCAGGCATGTCAAAGAGCACGTCTTCCTTGACGATGTTCACCATCTGTCAAAAGATCAGATCATCCAAGCTGGCGACCCCCATATACGAGTACATCCTAAAATTTTCTCACCTCACTCTGACTCAATCTCTCTTATCCAGTGCGTCTTAGCTGTCAAGAGTCGGTATGTGCTCCAAGGGAGCGCACCCACATCTCTCTGATGCAGCCATCAGCAAAATCAATTGTGAAGAACAGAAATCTTTCTGAAGCCGCATGCAAAGGGTTCTTCCATTCGCCGCAGTGCAAAGCAAATTCCTACTCTTCTTCGTTCTAATAGGAAGGAGGTATTGACAGTCTAAAGGCGTGAGTGCCACTCTGCCAGTGTCCTGTGATGGCTGACGACCAGAGAGTTATAAGGTATTAGTGCAAATCTGTGGCAACCAGGGGCTGACCCCTGACACGCGAATCGTCTCAGTCCGGAAAAGGCGAGGTATAACGGCCGGTATTTCGTAGGTGGGAAGAGATACAGAGATATGCGGTGTGGAATCAGCTGGAATATTTGTGATTGGGCGAAAAGATAATAGACAGATGGCTGGAATATATTGTATAAGATGCATAAATCAGGATATTTCATATATACTGACTGAGTAGTGTAGTGTTTTTGCATTCTCTCGGTAGCAGTTGGCACCAAGACGTGCCCACCTCTGCTCTAAGGCACAATCAAAAGAAGAGTAGAAGAGTGTGTGTGCCCACCCTTTGTATACAAGGCATGATTTATTGAATTAAACATTGAACAAATGCGTGCTACAGATAGAACTTTGACTATAGATATAGATGGATAGATAGAAAGGTAGATAGAATGTGCCGAATCGCAAAGTCTTATGGACTCTCAAATGCAATGGCTTCACAGATTTCTATTAATTCTCGGGTACTTTGTGGGTTATTTGCAAACGGCAAATAAATAATATCATTATTGTACAATATCCAAAATGCGGGCATAACAATTCCACTATCGTTCCAATTGCGGCGGAATGAAGGAAGAAGCGGAAGAAATATCAGACAGTACCGATGGTTACTGCTTGGGTCCTCCTCCCCGCTTAATCACATAAATCAGAGCAAAGCCCAGAAAAACAGCGCCCAGGGCCAGTCCCACATGAGCGCATCTGCTTGAGTCGGCAAATAGAAAATATGTTTTACAAAATTAATTAGAGAGCATTCTTTCAAATATGGTATGTATGTATATGCATTTAGCTATTGCGAAACTACAATGCACTTTAAGTGGGTTAGGCTTTTGGTAGGGTGGACTTTAAGGTGGAGGTTAATGCAGGATGCAACATTGCTTGGGCGCGGTAGGAGGAGCATTACTGATGCTGGCTTCACCAGTTTCTGTGGGCGTGGCACTAGTGCTGTGGTTGAGGTGGTGGTAAGGACATTGAAACCAAGAAACAAAAGAAAAAGTCAAAAGAAAATAGAAACATTTTGGTCCTCGATAGCATAGTGGTTAGTATCCCCCTCATGACAGAAACATGCCGAAAAAACGGTGCGAAATCCAATAGCATCCAAGTGGTTGTGTGTTAGTGAACCATGAGCATACATTTTTCTAGTGGTTTTTCGTGATATAATTTAGTGCCACATATGTATATACAAAACTTACAGGTCCCTCTTCAATATGGTATAGCTTGTTAGCATTTGTAGAACTTGACTTTGGAGCTTGAGAATGACTTAAAGCTTGGGGAAAGAGGTAAGCGATTTGTTATCAAATGTGTGATAATTGTAAAACCAACTACTTTACAAGTGCATTTCAGGTCAAAATCTAATATATGGGTAGTATAGGGGTAGGTAGTATAGAATACATAAATGAAAAACGATTATAGTAAATAAAATATCAGTTTCAGACATGCCACTTAAGTTATAGTAACGTTTCCCAAGTCCTAAAGCGTCCTTTCGTATATGTTACATATGTGGCAAGAAGGATTGGTGTCAGTCTGGATGGGGCTACGATGGGCTACACAAACGTACGTAATAAGAAAAATTCGGAGGAAAAAAGGTGCTGTCAGTCAGTATAATTTCATGCCTGAAAAATTTCGCTGATGGAGGCCAAAGAATGCGTTACACAAAAATTTGGTTAGCCGGGGATATGCGTAATAGACTATTGATTATGTGTCAAAGACATGGCATTCGGTAGTGGACTGAGTCATGCAAGGAGAATAGCGATGATGGGGGAAAGATGATGACCATAATTCTATTGGAATCGGGAATGCGGTTCTTGATCCTTTATAGAATTAGGGTTTTCTGCACATGAGATAGCAAGCATTCTTTTAGTTATCCTTGTTAAATTAAAGCCTGTCGCTCACCTAATTGGGCTTTTCTTTTTGATATCAGCGGCCGCCAAATCGCCAATATAAAACTTCTTCATAATCTTCCTAAAAGGAAAAATAAGGAACAGACAACGAATTAATGGGAGGAAATCGCTTGAAAGTCGTTCAATTTGAAAGCCTGCAGACCTGGCCTCTAGGCTGTGGCCTACGTCGATGAACTCCTTGGTGCCATCACGACCAGCCACATCTACGAGCGAGTCCTCACCACCGGGATGCTGCCAAATACATAAATAGGAATCAATCAGCTTAACTCCAATCATGCAGCATCAACACAATCCCCGGGCTTACCTCGAGCCGAAACTTGGTGACGTCATAGACTTTATTTTCGATAACTATCCAGAGATCTTCTGCCTTGTTGTGCTTCTTGACTGTAGCCAATGAAATCTCTTCTGCCATGTTTTTCCACTTATTTGATTTGCACTGCGAACCTGTTGACTTTTTTTCGAATGGAAGGGCGAACAGCTGAGCAGTGTCACCGCGGACTTATCGTTAAAATATACAGTCCGACCCTCAGAAGTATACCACAATATACTGTCCCATTTTAAAAATATACCGTTAACATACTGACGAATTCAAGTTATATTTTACATATTCCTCGATTTTGATATTCCGTCGAATATTACTAGCTAGAAAGAACGCCCATTCATGCCCACATATTTTATACAATTGATGAATCAATTTTCTACTTGACTGGTTTGTTTTAAATACTTGACTCGTTTTCTTGCTATCATTGTGTATGGAATGAGACTCATTGTTGTCAACCGGTTGAAGGAGGTCCCTTTCTTATAAGACTGGCTAACTTGAAGAACTCATTTATATTGGTTTTTAAACAAAAAAAGGTAAAAAAAAATGTCCACTAAATAAATGCTGTACATGCTAACTACACGCCAACTACACATTTGCTACATATTAAAGACATATTGATTTAATTATCAGCAGCGCCACCTGACATTAGTCAGTTGAATTAGTCGGTATGATTACGGTATATTTTCAAAATGAGACGGTATATTTTGGTATATTTCTGAGGGTCGGTTAAGTCAATATTTCTCGGAAATCGTTCTTTTTTTTTTACCTTACCGCCAAAACGTCCAAATAAAATATAACAAATAAACAGGATCGAAATGTTAGCGGGCGTACTCATCGAGATTCGTCCTTATCTAAAATGCGGCCAGGTGTATATCCAGCTCCATCGTAATGACGCCAGCAACATGCGCGTCGTCATCCTGGAGCAGCGAATCTACATTGATGATGCCGACTGTGGAACAGGGAAATCCATAGACACCGAGATCATGCGAGTAAACGAATTCGACATGGACCTCAGCAGCCTGTCCGGCTTCCTCTTGAGCGGCAAAAACATGAGCTTTCGCTTTAGTTTCAACAGAATAGCCGTGGCTGTCCTCGACAAACGGACGGTAAGGGTGCCCATGAAGCCGCTGCTCCTTAGCTGCTGCGAGAATGAATCCCTGGCGATCCAATGCGTTGGCTGCCAGGCAGAGGTCGCCCCGCGGCGCATCTACACGCGCCTTCGTGAGTTTCCCAATTGCATTGTGGATCCGAATGAGTTCTTTTGCCACGGCCACGACCATGGACATGGACATGGACATGGACAGGACAGGCCACACAGCCTGTTGCCGGGCGAGAAGGACCTATTCTACGGCCTCAACAACGTGATCATACGGATGGTCAATCTGGCCAAAATTGTGAGACGTGGCGAGCACTTGCATTGCCAGCGCTGCATGCGTTTCCTGGGCATGGCCATCTTCAATGGAGAAGCGGCCAGACTGTGGGCCGATACCGTTCGCTGGCTGCCGTCAGCTCAGAAATCAGACGGACTGCCGCCGGCCATCCGTCACTTCTTCCAGTTTTCCACCATGACGGAGCTGGTGTTGCGCCTGCTCAACAGCCTGTGGCCCCATGTGTTGCCATCGATAAACCTTACGGGCAGCCGCGCCGTTCTGTACGCCTCTCCCACGTCGCAGCAAAAGCAGTATATGCTCATCCGAGTGGTGGAGCCGCAGCTGAGAGTGCTGCGGCGCATCAGTGGGAAGGCGCCCGTGCTGAGCGGCTACTATGCCATCAAGCTCAGCTACGGCATCTACGAAGACTGCCAGGAGGAGCCGCCGGATATCCTGCAGCGCTGGCAGGCCCACCAGGATGTCTCCCAGTTTGAAATCTCTCCCAAAATGTTCATGGAGCTGCGCCAGCGCCTCGACCGCAACGCCGAATACCAACCCATGGAGTGGCGCCGCAGTGCGATGGAAGAAAATCTCGTCCTTACGTACTTCATATACGAGGACGAGGCTCAGCCGGGCGGCATTTACGTGGCTCGTGCGAAGCTTCCAAGCACATACAGTAGCGACAGCGATGACGAACAGTCGGATCCAGGCAGCGTAACGTTCGGCCGAAGACGCAGCCCAAGTATCAGACGTGCCATATCCCTGCCGAGCGTGCTCAATGGAGAGTCCAACCGCCAGCGTCTGCTTAATTGGCTGCTAGAGTCGCGCCTGAATGCGGCCAAGAAGGCGTCTGGCCGCCAGCGCTTGGCAGAGTTGCAGCCGAAACTGAGCGACGGCTCTTCCTCAAACTGATTCTCGTATCCTCTCTTCAGACAGAGTGCAGAGCAGAGCTTATGTTACTCTTACTTTCGTTCTTTGTGTTAGTTTTAATAAGAATTTAATTTAATTTGTAATATTTGACGCATTTATTTAATCTTTACAAACATTTTTCTCAACAAGTATTAGCTAGAGGAAGTAGTGGAGGTGGAAGTTATGCTAGTCCAGCTGTAGTACAGTGCGTTTCACGGCCATGCGACCAGTGGCTGTGATTTCTGGATAGATATTTGGTTTTGTTTTTGGCAGGAGTGCATGTCCATTCATGCCTCCTAACGCCGTGAAACGCACTGTACTATGCATCAAAATTGTATATATGGTGGAAAACCACAAAGTAAAATTCAAAACAATTAAGAAAATAAATACACACATTAATTCATTTAATGAGTTTTTGGAAAAGAATAAGAGAAAATAATATTTTGTTAGTTTAATTAAAATAAAAACCATTAAAAAATGATTCAAATCATGTTTTGAGCAAAAATCAAATCCAAAAAAATGATAAACAAAATTGCACGTCACAAATAGTATCTGAATGGATAAAAACTGAAACGATTGTTGAATATATTTGGAATATACTTTATAAAATTAATTCTATTTTTCCTATATTTTACAAAGAGATTCAACTTTTATATCGACAAAAAACTTCTGTAAACTTTGAATATGGTATAATGCGAGTAGTAGAGGTAAACGATGCAGGATATGAACGAGGATTAGAAGCGGGCGACGAACGTGCTTGAGGGCAGATCCATCCGAATGAGAGCTGTGAAGCGCAACCCGCACTGTCCGCCTGCCTGCATGTGATTGAAAACGCTTTTGGGTAATCTCAACTTCAGCTTCAGTTATAAGCGAAACTCATACAGAAACTCATTCATCCAAAGAAAGAGAAGACAAAGGCTGGCCAGGATCAAGGCTAGCAGACGGAGGGAGAGATAAGCCGAAGATCCGATGTATTGATTATAGACCAAAACGAATTTCGTACATAATAAAGAAAGCAACCCCATTCGAACCTTGAGTCCTTGATTTCCTTGATTCCTCGATTCCAGACCTCACTTGGCCAAGCGCCGCATCTGCTTCGTCTGCTCGCTCATGGCTATGTGGGCGTTATCCGCCTTGTTGATTAGCGCGTCCAGTTTGTCCAGATCCGAGTCTATGCGCTGCTGCTTGGCGGCCTTGGCGGCGCTGACCTCGGCCGCTGTGGGTGGGTGCCGTGGCTGCTCTTGAACGAGGGCACGCTCTTCCTGGGACGCTGCTCCCTCTGCTGCTCCTGCTGCTGCTGCAGACAGATCTACGGACCCGGAGCTGGGTCGGGCAAAGATGTTGCTGAGGCTGCCGCAGGCCGTCTGCTTAAATCGGTTCAGTCTCTGCTGCGTGCTGGACAAAATGCTATTCAGTTCGCCCAGCTTGCCGCCGACATCTCTAAGCGCTTCGCCTTGTTGCTCCAACAGCTTTGGGCGGGCAAAGAAACCGTAGGATGTCGTCAAGCGTTCGTGGAGAGGAGAGTTCAGGGACTTACCACTGCCTCGGCTGCATCGTGGTCGGCCTGCTCCTGCTCGAGGCGGGCTTGGAGTCTACGATCAAACTCGTCCTTGTCTGGCGCCTGCAGGCCCAGCAGCTCCGCCCGCTGGCACTCTTGCTCGTAGCTGTTCTGCTGCTGCTGCAATTCGGACATCTTGCTTTCAAACACTCTGGCAACCGACTGGCAATAACATCGATTTTTTTTCCTTTCGCTCAATCCCAGGGCCAGTGCCCCCTTCCCTTCTCCCCTTGGGAATTGTGGGGGAGCCCAGGCATGCGCACGGCTTACCATCTGATGGAACAGCTGAAAGCAGCAGCCACAAGGAAAGATAGAAAGACGGAGCATAGGGAGTAGAATCATAAATCGAATAGAAATACAAGGGTTTATTATAGTCTGGTCTGTCTGGACTATAGCTTGTATTATAGCTCGTGGTATGGAGGTATTTTCAGTACAAAAAATAAACTAGAAAGGGACCATGAGCGCTTGGATCATGAGGGATCCGAACTGCGCTCGTAGATCTGAATGTAGGACTCGGTGAGGGTGATCATCTGGGGTAGGATTTCAGTGACATGCAAGTCCTGCATCTCGTACCACTGCCCGTTTGCCTTGTGCAGAATGTGGGCGCGATAAGTGCCCTTCTTGGGGTCACCATCGTGGACAATGTTCGCCACCAGATTGTATTTGGTATCCTTGACATCCTTGTCCCTCTGGCGCATGCCCAGGATGTCACCAAAGTCCACGTTCCTGGCGGGAAGAGGGGCAGAGGTGAACAAATACTCCACGAAATCGCCAGCGATACTCACTTGATGGGAAAATTGACAATGGTGGGATTCTTCTCCAAGAAGAACGTGTTCTTGGTGAACCGCTTAATGTACAAGATAATGAACTGCGGCAATCGGGTGATCTCGAAGCGTTTCATGAAGTTGTCCTTGTAGGTTTTGTACTCCTTCTCGGCACTGCCATTGAACTTGCCCAGCAGCTGGTAGAGATTCACTTGCGGAATGATGTTCTCGCGGAACTCGTCGGTGAACAGAGGTGGCGGCGGCAGGTCGCAGGTGAGATAGATAAAGTTTGTGTGCTCCACCTGATCCTGGTACTCCTCGGTGGCGAGCAGTTTCTCCTTGGCTGCGTCGTCCAGCTCTACGGGCGGCATTTTGCGCGTAAATATCTGCATTTCGCCGAGGAAGATGTTATACAGAATGGAGGAGTTGGGTTGCTTGTTGCCCTTGAGGGCACGATGGAGGGTGTTGAGGAACCAGGAGAGAAAATCAATGGGATCGCCCTGCTCTGTTATTTGAAAGCGCTTACTCGACCACAGCACCACCGCCTGCAGCATTTCGTGCGGCGAGACGTGAGCCTTGAAGTTGCGCGGATTCCACATTTTTCGCATCAGCTCGCCGAAGCGCTGCACCAGGGTGAACATCGAGTCGCCCGGCGGCCGCTTGATCTTTGCGTAGCTCTGCTCGCGCAGGAAGTAGTCCCGCAGGGGGCCCACGTGCGAGAGGGCGTGCAGCACCACGTTACAGTAGTCGTTGGCTTTGATGTTGTTCAGACCGACGACGCCGGGCAGATAGAGGATGCCGTCGACGGTGCGCGACTGCTTCGGCAGGACGAAGTCGAGTTTGCTTATTTCCTGCTTGGTGAAGGTCGGGTTTAGCACGTATTTGATGTCGTCCAGCGACGAGTCGATGATCTCGTAGTTGTCCGGCAGGCAGTAGAATCTCAGTGTGTGGAGATTGAGGAACACATGATGCGCCTCGCCCACCGAATGCGTATAGGCGTGCGTGTTGGTGCCGCGTCCCTGGAAATACTTGCCGCACACCAAGCAAGCGTACACATTAATCCGCGTCAGCGAAACGGAGCAAAGCTTCTCGAAATCAAAGTCCAACAGATTGCGGTTGATCGTGTCCAGGTAGGGACACACCCGATACTTTGGATTGAACACGGATGGCGTCTCTGCATGGTGGAAAAGAGTGGAAATGATTTACCATCATGTTAGGGCTGTTCTGTTCATCAAATTCTCTTACCATCGTCTTCTTGCATATTTGCCGGCCTGTTGTCCAGCCTGGGGCGCTTAGCTGCTAAACATATGGAACGCTGTTAAGTTTTTTCTAGAAGCTTGGGAAGACATGTTAACTACCTGTGGATTTCGTTTGCGCCATTTCTTGCCGTTGTTTTGTCAAAAATGCATTTAAATAAGAATTAAAGAACTTTGTTGATAGCGGTGTCCAGTACTGGAAAGCGGCTGCCGGTAGCAAGGTTGCATGTGCTGAAAATATCGATTCATCGATCGAATGCATATCGATATTTAAAACGATTAAATATTTAACGATTTAACATGTCATTTAACGTCAAATTCACGTCAGGAAGAAGAATAACCAAAATCACATCAAATTCAGGTCACAAGGAAGAAAAACAACAAAATTTTCGTCGAAACGAAGAACATACCTTGACTGGAGAGTTGGGGAGGGCTGGCCGAGCTTTTGTTCATCTGACAACGTGCCGTTACCGGTATCCAGGAAGGAATATTCATGCCGTGGGCTACGAGCCGATCTCGCATTGCATTTACTGCGTAAGATTAGCTGAGGCTGCGGGCGGTAGAGGATAATCCTAATCCTTCTTTAACTTTTACCAGATCGAAGGCAGAAGTCACAGGATCAAGCGTTCGCTGGCAAATGCCCTAAAGGTCAGCTTGTTGGCTAACTCTGGTCATTGCCATCGAGGGCTCTGGTCTGCGGTGGTACCACCAACTGTGACAATGTCCACGATGAGTTCGACTGCTGCAAGCGGCCAGAAAAGTTTTAGTGTCCCATCAACAAGGTGAGACAAGATAACTGCCCAAATGGTTTAGCTAACCATTGTCATTGTCATTATTAACTGTCTGTATTGATTTTTAGTCCAAAGTAACATCAGAAATGTCGGAGAAGGACTGCTCGGGCTAATCCTCGTTCATGTGCTGGATGACGACCACATTGCATGAATCTTCGGCTGAAGTACTGGGGCCATGCCAGGCGGTCGCCCACGTTGTGGGTCATATTGAAGCGGGCTGCGATGCGGCTGCCATCGGAGAGACGCAGCTGGACCGTCGTCATGGCCGACTTCTCGTTAAGGCTCAGTCTGCCTTTGGTATGCTGCTCCGGCAAGACCCGCACAGAGCCAAAGGATGACCAGGCTTCGGATCCGCTTGCCCTCAACTCTCAGCAAGTCGGAGCGCGTGTCCAATATCTCCTCCAAGGCGTCTACGGTGCTTCATAATTTTTAGGAACTCTACTTGTCCTTACAAAATTTCTTTAATTAAAAGACGGTAGTGATACATATTTGGACATTAGCCGAGGGTTTGAATCTTGATTTCTTTTGGGAATGAAGGGGTCTTCTCTGTCGTGACGGGACTTGATACTTTAAACAGATTAAAAGCATACAATCACATATTTTTGTGAGAAAATGCCAGCTGGGCTTGATGACCCCGGGATCTAATCAAGAAAGTTCGTGTGCGACATGTTCGGTGTATGAACTGGCACATCTCTGTATATGTATACTGTATGGCTAGTGGTTAGTGTTAGTAGATCAAGCCAGGGCAAACTTTAAGAAGTATCGCCTGGCGTAGAAGGCAACTTTAGATATCGCTTATCGGAAAAAGGCGGCTCTATTTATACATTTTTATAGCTGGTCGGGCTGGTTGATTAAAGCTGCTGAGAGAAACTCTGAGTTATTTTAAACGACCTTAAACGCCCTACCGCAATCCAAAGCTCTCGTCTTGGCAAAGCTTTGGCCAGCAGATTAGAGCGATAAGGTGTCAAATAGTTCCAGTTCTTAATACGATCTCCGTACACACAGAGCGAAACTTTCCACAGGAACGCAACGAGAAGCTAGAGATCAACAACACGTTCATCATGTGGGCCGATCTCAAAAACAAGGTGATCTTGGTGACGGGCGCGGGTGCGGGCATCGGCCAAGCCCTGGTCAAAGAGCTGGCAGGCGCGGGAGCCACGGTCATAGCAGTGGCCCGCAGCGAGGCCCAGCTCAAGGAGCTAGCTGCCTTTGATCCCAAGCACATTCAGCCCCTGCAGCTGGACCTGGCCGAGTGGCAGCCGGTGAGAGAGGCCCTGGCCAAGGTGCCACTCTTGGACGGACTGGTGAACAATGCCGGAGTGGCCATCATCAAGCCATTCGAGGAGCTCACCGAACAGGACTTTGATACGTGAGCGGAACGAGATCTCTGACAAAAATACAAATTGCATTAATTGTTCGCTTCCAGCCACTTTAATGTGAACATCAAGGCCGTCTTCAATGTGACCCAGGCCCTGCTGCCCAAGCTCCGCGATGGAGCCTCCATTGTGAATGTCTCCTCGATAGCGGCGTCGCGCTCGTTTGCCGGTCATACCGCGTACAGTGCCACCAAGGCGGCCCTCGACTCGCTGACCAAGTCATTGGCCCTGGAGCTGGGTCCACGTCGGATACGAGTTAATTCGGTCAATCCCACGGTGGTGCTGACCAAAATGGGGCGTGACAACTGGTCGGATCCCGGCAAGAGTGGACCCCTGCTGGCCCACATTCCGCTCAATAGGTTCTGTGAGGTGCAGGAGGTTGTCGATGCCACTGGCTACCTGCTGAGCAACAAGTCCAGCTTCGTGAATGGCCATCACATTCTGCTGGAGGGCGGCTATGCCGTATCCTAGAGACCATCCATCCGCCAAGAAGAATTTCACTTGCGTTTAAATAAAGCATGCAATTTATTTTCTATATATTACGTGTGGTATATACCCATTTATGGGGCTTAATGGCGGTTAATTATAACATGCAAATATTTTATATATATGTTTCGCACAGCTTTGAAAGTTACTTTTCGTTAGTTTACACTTAACTTATGGGTAAAATACACCAAAAAATATATATCTATCTTTATATATGTACGCTCGAGGGTTACTGAGTGCAGGATATTCAAATTTCTAACCCACTGCAATTGAATATAGTTTCATGCAAGTCCTTTATGGCTTCATAGAATGATTCGATTCGATACGATTTTGTGGCTTTTTGAAAAATTTTACTGTTTGCCGAAATGCAAGGTTACTACAGCAACTTTCCAAACTCTTGGCTTCTAAATAAATTATACCAAAATATATACATATACATATATGTATGAATACCTTTATATTTAAGTACATACATATATAATCTATTGTATATAAATATGAAGGATTCTAAGATTTCACTTAGCTGTTTATATTCTAGAGATCTAGAAATCGGCACGGCACGTCCCTATCTCGTGAGGATAGGAAAGTGTTCTGATACACATACAGTACACATGTACATATGTATAAGCAATCGGAAATCAGGAAAACGTTGGGGATGACTTAACTCTGGACCATCCATAGTATTATACCGAGTACCAACTAAGTTGGCACCGTATCGACACGAATACCAAATTCTATGAAAGTTCTTTTTTTTCAACCCATTACTGAAAGCTCATCATCAAATTATAAAATGGCGTTTTTAAAAATGATTTTCGATGTATAATGCACATTTTAAGTAAGGGGAATCAAGTCCTACAACCTTATTTTTGTCTCGACGAAAGTACATCCATTGGAATACATATAACATATGTACATAGTAGTATCTATGTTATACCCTTGCAAACTCTTGAGCTTAAAAACTCACTAAATTATGGATTTTAAATTTGATCCATTGCTGAAAAACAGTATTTATTATTGTATTTCCATATATTCAGATGAATTTCATTTACAACATCTTTATTGGTCGAACTGGAAGGTACATATATGTACATAAATCATTGAATGAAATTAGTAGATCTACTTTTTTGTATCCTCCTTTCGTTTTTGGATTTATTTGGGCTCTGCAATGCAACGAAGATAAATATAAGAGATTCCTTGCACTGTGCAGTGTTCAGAATATTTAAATTTCGTTCAGAAGGAAGTAGTTTAATATGTATTCATATTAACTCGCTCATACTCTCATGAATTTAGTAGGGTTTTAGCGCAGTAGGGCTATATAAAAGTTTAAATAATATATTTGCAAATAATTATAATTCATGGCTTACAACAGTCTTGCTTAGATTCTATTAAAAAACATTTTGTATCTTACAATCCATAAGAAAGCGGTTAGGATTATTGGATATACATACATGTGTATGGGCTTCTTAAATACTAATGTTTATATTTTGTATATATCTAGTTATAATCCTCTTGCTTCCATTTCAAGTATGGGCTTAGCGCCTAATATTCCATTTCGGAGCCACTTTAACGTTAATGTATCAGCAACAAAAGATTGCTGAATCAATGTGTATTACGTATGGGATATATATATTATTACAAGGCTTAATTATCTTACTTTCTAAATTTATAGAATTTATAGCTTTCAAGTGTGCATTTTGCATTCATTTTAAATCATCTTTTTTCCTTATGAATTAATTTTAAAATGTGCTTTTGGTAATACCCTTCTTTCCGGGTATATTATTATCCTAGAGCCTTTAATAATTCAATCAATAATCGTATAGCCAGAAATCAAATATTGCTTAGTTTACACACCATTTTCAGAGTTTCCTCGGTTTAGGTTTAGACGCAAAAAAAACATTGCAAAATGAAAGCTATATATGGTTTTAGAATCGAATTCTCAGATTATAAATGTGTTTTGTATGCATTTGTTTGCAAAGTGCCCTCTGGTCGGGCACATGCATATATGTTCATTAGATTAAAGCAATCCTAAAGCGATTTTATAATGAGCAATCAAATATTACCAAGTGTATGTACAATCGTTTGTAAATGTTTTCTTAAACTTATATACCTATCACCGAGTGTCCGTGAATCATTGAATCAGATTACTTTACGTTTTTAAAGCTTAGCAAAGACAAAAAAATTGAATAAAAAAAAAAAAACCTTTGCTGTATCAATATCTAAATGTATGAAAATTAAATTCTTAAATAGAATATTCTTGTAGACACTTTATACCCTAGATTCCGGGTGCATTGGAACATATGTGTCCCCAACAGTCCCTTACTTATAATCAGCCATACAAATATGACCGAGTGTATATACAATTTGTAAATATATATATTATATATATATATATATATATCGTTAAAACTATCCATCCAGACTGATTTGTTGGGGCAATTCAAGCAATGATTCATGAATGTCGCTCCTTCTTCGAGTTTCTTACCTCCCCCTAGGTGTCTCCCTCCTCGTGCTCCCGCTCGAGGAGGCGTTCTCGTTCTCGCTCCCTTTCACGCTCCCTCTCCGACCATCAGGTGCAGACTTTTCCTTGCGTCTGGCCCTGCTGCTGCTGCTGTTGCTTCTTCTCGCGCTCGCGGCGGCGCATCTTCTTGCGCCTCCGATCAATGACCGCCAGCTCGCCCTTGATGGTGTTGTATGCCTTGCGCAGATCCTGTATCTGCTTGCGCAGAATTGTGATGCACTGATCGGAGCTCAAAGAGCGATCTTTTTGGGAATGGATTCAATAAGATTTAATGAGAGATTGCACATATTTCGGCGGAGCCTCCTTAGACTTACCCAATTCAACCAGAAAGTTGTACGGACAGGGTCGTACGCCCAATTGATTGCTCGAAGACGGTTGCTGTTGCTGCTGCAGCTGCGTCTGTTGCTGCTGTTGTTGTTGCTGTTGAAGCTGCTGCTGCTGTTGCTGCTGCTGCTGTTGCTGTTGTTGCTGCTGTTGGACATTGGTCAGAGGCATCAACTGCTGGCGTCCACTCTGACGCAGCTGCTGCTGCTGTGCCGGCTGCTGTTGCTGTGGCCCCAAGTTGGACACCAGATTGTCGGAATTGTCATCGGTATCCGAGCCCGCTGCTGAATGAAAATGTATTTGAGCTTGAATCAAAATCAAAATCAAAATCAAAGCTACCAAAAGGCAGCCTCCGCTGCACTCACCTGTGACTGTGGCTGTCGGTTTGCTGCCTCTCATTCCCGATACCTGGCGCCGTCGCTTGCACAGCGACTGGAGCTGTGCCGCAACGGCAGTGATCTGCCCTTGGGTCTGCTTGATCGTGCGCTTCCTCTTGCGCAGTGTCCCCCCCAAGCCCAAGCCCTCTAGTTCGTTCTCTAGGTGCTTGGTCTTGGCCTCTTCGCTGCTCTCATCCTCCTGGCTGGCCGAGTCCGGCGAACTGTTTGCCGTCGACGGACCCACACCACCCAACGCCGAGTCTCCTGCGGACTGATGTGCCCCTGTCGTCCCCTGCAGCAGACCCGTGGTTCCCGGTGGCGGAGTGTCTGGCGACAGTGGAGTGATGCCTGTAATAGCCAAAGCAGAGCTCGCTGTGGCGGTCATTTGTTCATCCTTGCCGCCGTAGGTGGGCGCCGGACTGCCGGGTATTGTCTCTTCGCACAGTAGATTGATCGTCTCGTTGTGCGGATCATTGATCAGCGGCGAGCTGGCCGCGGGCGCCGCGGTATTGGCCACCACATTGTACATCTCCTTGTTCACGGCATGCATCACAAAGGGTCGTGCCACCACGGGCGTCGTGTCGCTCGTGATCTCGGCACCTCTGCCTGTCCAGCCGCCGGTGGTGGATACGTTTGCGTTTGATAGAACAATTTCTGTTTGAACTGCCGTCGACTGCTGCTGCTGCTGGTGATAGCTGGAGCTGCTGGAGCGAGCATCAGCCTCCGGCTCTATGTAGGTCTTCAGCAGCAACCCACTGCCCAGTCTGTCTCCCAGATCAGACGAAACAGTCGGCGGCGAGGGCGATGCCGGGCTGGAGGTGCAGGCCATAATAGGTGGACTATCCTGATCTTGTTCCATGGGAATCGTGAAGGCGGGTATCATTATAGAGGGCATCGCCATCACCACAGATGCGGGTATCTCGGGCACCACAACGGGTATTCCAAAGGAGCTCAGTGTCCCCATCTTGCTCGACTCCTCTGGATGGTGCTGTTGCTGTTGCTGTTGCTGCTGCTGCTGATGGAGTTTTGCCAGCGGCGGTGGCTGTGTGACAGCTGCTAGCTTTCCCGCAAACGAACTGCTGCTTGAGCTGGGCTCTCCTTGCGCCAGTTTGAGGGCAATGGGTGCTTGAATGCCGCTGTTACACAGCTGCTTGCTGCCCATCAGTTCCATTTTGACGGGAGGCGTGGGCGTGCTGATGGTCCTGTCCATGGTCTCGGCCAGTTCCTCCTGTGAGCCGGGACTCTTCTGCTCGGCCGTTGTGGTAGTGGTGTGGTCCTCTACAATCACATCCTCGATGACCAGGCGCTGCTCCGAGTCTGTGCTGTCCATGGACTCGTCGGAGAAGCCACCCACACCCACGGTGACCGTGGAGTTGGGTGTGTGCGCCGTCGGGGGGGTCCCAGCTGTGGAGCTGGCCAAGGAGAGGCCACTCACGGGCGTCTTTCGCTGCTGAATGGCACACTCTAGCTTCTGGATCGTTTCGCTTAGCTCGTTGTTCTTGGCCGGCATCGAATCGAGGATGGACTTGGTCTCCGGACTGTTGGTGGCCGGTCCCGGCCTGTACAGCTCCCCCAGCAGGGGTCCCGTCTGGATCTTTAAAGGCTCACTCAACATCTTGAGCGCCTCCAGCTTGGAGCTGGTGCATGGCTCTGGTTTGGGCAAAATCAAGGGCGTGGCCTCTATATCAGGCAAGAGCTTGGGGATCATCATGGGAGTGCCTGTGCGTGTGCCTACGCCTGTGCCCGTGGGTGGCGTGGCCTCCGTGTGGGGGTGTGCCGGTGGCTTGCTCTTGTTGTTCTCCACCTCCTCCTTCTTCTGGCTAATGGCTTTGAGCACCTTGTCCGCTATGGAGCTGGTCTTCTGCTCGTACTTGACCGCATCCAGATCGAACGGAAGGCCCGCTGCTCCGGCCAGCAGAATCTTTACATTCTCCAGCTTCTCCAGCTTGTTGTCCTTGGACTCCCCGGAGCTGTAGCCGCTGCCCTCGTTCGAGGTGCTCAACTCAAACACGTTCCTGGTCTCGATGAAGGGGCTGCCCACGACAGTGGGTGGCGGTGGGGGCTTCGTCTGAGCCTGGGGCGGAGTGCTCAGCTTGGGCGAGGCTGCCACTTGGCCGCTAGTGGCGCCTCCTCCTGTGGGCGGTGTTCCTGGACATATAAGCAGGGGTCCTGCCGGTGGAGCGGTGGCTGAAATGGGGGTCGTGGGTGGCTGCAGGGCATCGGTTAGAGCTCTTGTTGTCTCCTGCACGGTCTGGGCCAGCTCCTCGTTCAGGGCCATGATATTCAGGTTGAAGCTCGGCGACTTGCGCAGCGCATCGAAGGGCGTGGCATGGTGTCCGGGCGTCAGTTGGCCAGCAGCAGAGGAAGCAGAGGTGGAGCCTCCTCCTCCTGGTGGCGTTATCAGCTTCTGTTGCATCTGCACGAGATTGGGTGTGGCTGTGGGTGTGTGTGTGGCCGTGGCCGTGGCTGCAACCACTTTTACAGTCGGAGGCGCCTGTTGCTGCTGTTGCTGCTGCTGTGGGATGGCAGGCTTTTGTTCCGGCTGTTCCTTTTCCACTTTTATTAGCTTGGGCTTCTCCAGCACCAGACTGGCCTCCTTTAGGGGGGAGCCACGCTTCTTGGATTTGCCTGCTCCCAATCCCGCAGTTACGACAGGTGCCGCTGCCGCTGCTGCTGCATGGACATTGGGCGGCAGCTGGTGCTGTTCCAGGCTGTGCTGCAGGGCCGTGGCCTTGAGAGCCTGCTTTCTGGCCGCAGAGCTAACCACCACAGTGGTACCAGCACCGGGCGGTGCTCCGGCTCCTGCTCCTGCTCCTCCTCCAGCTGCTGCTGCTGCTGCTGGTGCAGGTGCGGACTGCGGCGGCACCGCAGTAATGACCGAAGAAGGGCCGGCGGAGGGGAGAACAGAAGCAACGCCTGTCGCGGTGGTGGAACAGGCCGCCATGGGCGATATGCGCTTCTCGAATTCAAAGGGTTCCGTGTCCTTGAACTCGTACACATCCGAGGCCAAGAGATCGCCGAGGGTGAGCGGTCCACCGCTTGCTGCCGCAATGCTGCTGCTGCTGTATTTGGACTCTTTGCTGCTGGCTGTGGCCGTGGCCGTCGGTGGTGTCGCGGGCTGGGTCCCAGACGGACCTGCTGCCCCGCTGCCTCCTGCTCCTGCTCCACCGCTGATCTCCAGCTTGCTCATGTCTGGCAGAGATCGAGTGGCGGAGCTGGAGCTTCCCCCCGAAGCACTTGAGCAAAAGGAACTGGACGAAGAGGACGACGAAGAGGGGGAACAGGCTGCCGGCAGTTCCACCTTCAAGGTGGCCACGGGCTCAGCAAATTTCTTGGCCTCCTGTCCCGTGGTGTTGCTGCTGCTGCTGGCAGTGGCTGTGGCTGTGGCCCCTCCTGGTCCCGCACCCGACTGCTTCTTGAGGCTGTCCACCTTCTTGTTCGGATGTTGCTGATCCGCGGACTGAGCGGATTTCTTGCTGCTGCTGCTGCTGCTGGCGGCGGCTGTTGTCATGGTGAGGGGCTTCTCCACGATCACCGGCGTGTACTTGGCCACGGCAGAGAGGCAGGGTCCCTGAGTGGATGTCGAGGAGGAGGAGCCCGATCCCAAGGCTGAGACTGAGGAGGAGCTGTTCAGGCCAAAGCGGGCCGGAGCTATCAGACTGGTGGTCGGCTTGATATCTGCCCCCGTGTGGAAGGGCTTCACCTTAATGTCCTTGGTCTCCGTCTTGATGGTCTCCAGCAGATGGATTGAATCTGCGCTACCCGGTGGCTCTTGTCCTGCCTTCCCTGGCGTTTGCCCCGCAGCTCCTGCCTTTGTGCGCTTCTCACCGGCATGCTTCCGGTAGTCCGATGACTGCGAGTCCTCGTCCACGTACGAGTCCGTCTCGGAGGAGGCCTCCGTGGAGCTGCTCTTGGCCGAGGACTCTACCTTCGGCTCTTTCTTGATGTCCCCCGCAGGCGCATGGCTCTCCCCCTTGATGTGATCCTTACGCTCGTCTATGGGCAATGCCGATGAGGAGGACGAGGAGGAGAGCAGTTGCGGCTGGAATCCCTTTAGCTCGGATCGTATTTCGCTGAGATCGTAGTCGCGTCCCTTGGAGGTGGCGGCCCCACTGCTCATGGCCCGATTGCCAGCCGCTCGGGAACGTTGCAGCGAAGGAGGCGGCTGCTGCTGCTGTTGCTGTTTGCCAGTACTGAGGCCAGGCGCGTCTTCCTCCTCCTCATCCTCGTCGGATTCCTCGCTGGGACTTTGCTGAGCAGCGGCTGCCGTGGGCCCAGATGATGGGACACGGGACAGGCGTCCCTTGGCGGTGGCTTGCGGCTTGCCAGCTGCCTTCTCCTTGGCACTCTGCCGTTTGGGCCGGCGCACTGGTTCGTCCGAGTCGGAGTCCGATTCGGAGGCCATTGAGGCGTCCGAGATGCGGATGTTGGCGCTGTTGGTCGGCCCTCGGGTGGGACGCCTCTTCATCGGCTGCTTCTGCTGATGTTGCTGCTGCTGCTGCTGCTGCTGCTGGGAGCTGGCCGGAGACTTGGTTCTGCTCGAATTGGAGGCTACCGACGAAGGAGTGGTCGATCGCGGTGGCATGGAGTCGCTGCGCCCACGGCCCCGCTTCGCTCCCGTGGTGGTTGGCGTTTTCACCATGGCCTGAATCAGCGAACTGGCTGTACTGAAGCCACTGGGATTTCCCGACTGGCCACCCTGCTGCCCCGCCGCCCCTGTGGGCGGTGCCGTCTTTAAGGGTCCATCCTTGCCAGGCGGCGGCTGCTTGTCGCCGCCGCCACCCGGACCTGGGGGCAGTGTGCCCTGGGAGCCAGCACCTGATCCGGTGCCGCCGCCTCCCCCACCGCCGCCGCTGCCACTGTTCGCACTGCTGGTGCTGATCGTACGTGTCTTCTGCTTGGATCCCTTGGTCAGGTTCTCGGCAATCCGCTCCCGGGGCACCCACTCGTCGTAGCGGTTGTTCCAGCCGGTGTAGTGGACCAGGTACATGGGCACACCGCGCTGTACGCTGATCTCGATGACCTTCGCCTCGTAGGTGCTGCCATGGGAGCTGGGGGACTTCTTCTCGTGGTAGTTGACCTTCAGCTTATCGCCGATGCCCACGACAAAGTCCCCGGTGTCGATCTTCTCAACGCTGATGTCCTTATCCTCCTTCTTCCGCTTGCCGCGCTGCTTCTCGTCCGGCTTTTCCACCTGCTTTCGTTGGTGCTTCTCTTTCTTGGCGGTGGTCAGTGGGGCAGCAGCTGCAGCAGACGGCCCGGGGGTAGCTATAGACATGAGTTGGAGAGAGAGAGGGATAAGATGGTCACTAAAGTCGCAAAAAAAAAGGAACAAATACATAACCACGTATGTATGTATATTATGCGATTACTGGTATTTTATACGCTCTTATTAATATCTAATCTATGTATCTACATACCGATGCATATTAACTGGCTTATTTCTCATATTTATATTCATTTTGGTTCATTCCTTTTGTGTAAGCTTTTCTTAAGCACTGGCTAAACGAGGCTGGCCTTGAGAGAATTACTTTTACTGAGATTCGAGGGTGTAAGATAATCAACTCATTTTTATATATAGATATAGATGTTTCTCCTGCTTTTTGGATTTAATTAATCATCGCATGAACCGTTTAGTGTCTTGTGTAGCATCCAGTATCACATTACATCCACTACTAATTCTTTTTTGGCTTTTTAACACATATATCCCGTAATTAGTATTAATATTTGATATATTCATGTATGAGCTCGTTCATTTCAGCTCCTATGCTTCCAGCATTTACACGGCCAGCTCGGCTATACATAATGAAGAATAATATTATGACATCAGAGAGTGCCAAATGAATTGTACAATTCAGCATTGGACCCGTTTAGACAGCGCTTAAGACATATCGATAGATCTGTTCCGTCGATACATTGTATCGATACTCGGAAGCTGGTGTGCGTGTACGAGTACCGCAAACAAAACGCAAAACGGGGCGACAAAAACAGCAGAAATTAGCGCTTATGCTGCCAAAAAGCTTGCTTATCAATAAAACCAACTCGCCCAAGGGGGCCTGCGGGTGCTAAGGCCAAGGCCGAAAAAGAGAGCACAAAAAGATAGAAGAGAAAAAGACAGGCAGCAACAAGTCGCGCGACAGCATTCGCCGGCTGCCTCCGAAGATAACATCACGGGACAAATTTAAATCTGTCTATTCTGATTGTTTTCTATTAATTTAATGTGAGTTTCTTCTGGAGGAGGCGGAGTTCTGTTACATAATCATGCGCTTACTGTGGCAACGGGCGGTCAGGCTGCAGAAGCTGATGCCACAGACACACGCCAGACGCCTACTGGCCACCACAACAGCCTCAGCACGGGGCAGCGGACAAGAAGAAAAGGAAAACCGCAAATGGAGTTCGCCCGGGAGCAAAGCTGAGATGTTCCTGTACGGCGCATTCTGGGCCGGCGGCCTGGGACTAGGCTACTTTTGGCTGACTCAGCGATACAGTAGCACGCCAGACGAGGAGGTAAAGCCAGATGATGAGGCAGTGGCCCGGCTGTGGCACATCACGCCCAGAAAGGATCTGCCCACCTACAAAGCGGAGCAAGTGGAACAACATAATGCACCCGACAAGGGCATTTGGATCACCTATGGCCTGGGCGTCTACGATGTGACGGAATTCGCCGAGAATCATCCTGGGGGGGACAAAATCATGATGGCCGCGGGAAGTGCCATCGATCCCTTCTGGGCCATCTACCAGCAGCACAACACTCTGGAGGTGTTGGAACTTCTCGAATCCTTTCGCATCGGAAATCTGGAGGGTCTGACTGTGCCCAATGCGGAGGATGAGCTGGGCTCGCCCTGGGCCCAAGAGCCCGTACGCCACGCCCTGCTGAAGCCCGCCTCCAAGCGTCCGTTCAACGCGGAGCCGCCCATTGGTCTGCTAGCCGAGAAGTTCTACACCCCCAACGAAATGTTCTATGTGAGGAATCACCTGCCCGTTCCCGTTCTGGTGCCCGAGGAGTACGAACTGGAGATCGACACGTCTGGGGGCGAGCAGGGCGGGCAGCTGCTCACACTGACTCTGGCCCAGATCAAGGCCCTGCCCAGGCACACGGTAACGGCGGCCATCATGTGCGGGGGCAATCGACGCTCCGAGATGACCCACATCAAGGCAGTCAAAGGTGGGTGCTGCGGCACTAGTCCCCCACTAATCCCAGTAACTAATCGAACATTCTCTCTGCTGCAGGTCTCTCGTGGGGCGCTGGTGCTGTGGGCAATGCCAAGTGGTCGGGAGCCCGTCTCTGCGATGTGCTTCGGGAGCAGGGAGTGCAGCCCAACGAGTCCATGCACGTGATATTCGAGGGGGCCGATCTGGATCCCACATCCCATCCCTACGGCGCCTCCATTCCACTCTCGAAGGCCCTGGATCCACGCGGCGATGTCCTCTTAGCCTACGAGATGAACGATGAACCGCTGACGCGGGATCATGGCTATCCCATACGCGTTATTGTGCCCGGCGTTGTGGGCGCCCGAAATGTCAAATGGCTAACGAGAATCATGGTGGCCGACCACGAATCGGACTCTCACTGGCAGCAGAACGACTACAAGGGCTTCAGCCCCAGCACGGACTGGGACACGGTGGACTTTAGCAAGGCCGAGGCAATCCAGGCCATGCCGGTGACCTCGGCCATTTGCACACCGCTCCCGGGGGAGCGGGTCAAAGTGGATCCGCAGGGCGGATACATCACAGTGCGTGGCTATGCCTGGAGTGGAGGCGGACGCAAAATACTCCGCGTGGATCTGACCGGAGACGAGGGTAAGACATGGCATGTGGCCGAACTGGAGCAGGAGGATTCGCCCGATGGCCGGCACTATGGCTGGTCCCTGTGGACCGCCCGCCTGCCCATACCTGAGGAGCAGCAGCAACGGCGCAAGGCTGGCGGCAGCGGGGAGCTGGAGATCTGGGCCAAGGCCGTCGACTCAGCCTACAATGTGCAGCCGGAGAAGTTCGAGCATATCTGGAACTTGCGCGGCGTCCTGGCCAATGCCTATCATAAGGTGAAAGTGAAGCTAGCATAGATCGTCTGATCATAATAAATAACGTCATAATATCTAAGAGGATTGTCCAGATTTCTGTGTGCTCTGCACTTACCGGATGGGGAGGCATCTCTGCTCCTTTGATTGTCCGCGGAGTTGGCCTTGCTGGATGTGGCACTGCCCGGACTGATGTTGGTCTGCTGATCCTTCTCCATGCTGTTCCTGGTCACGGCTGCTGCAGCAGCGGCGGCCGCTTGCAGCTTGATTTTGGACAAAGGCAGATCCGATTCGGTGTCTTTGCCGACTGCGGCCGAGGGAGTGGCAGCTGCTGCTGCTGCTGCTGCTCCTGATGATAATGATGATGGAGTGGCCGTGGAGGGAGTGTTACCAGCAGAAGATGCCGCCGCTATTGCTGCAGATGTTGTTGTTGAAGATCCACTTCCTGCGGTGGCTGTGGGGCCCCCTCCACTGGCAGCACCAGTAGCAGCGGCAGCAGCGGCAAGGGGCATTGCTGCCGAGGACTTCTCCTCGTACTTCTCCACGAGGCTCTTGACCTTGCCCTGCTGCTGAGTGCTGGTGGCCGCCGCCGAAGCCTTGCGTTGCTTCTTGATGGGCTCTACCACCACACTCGACTCGCTGGTGTTCTCAGACTCCTCTGCTGCCGATATGGAGGCCGTTGAGGCGGCCCTGGCAGCGCTGGCTGCAGCGCTCAAAGTGGGTCCAATGGTTGATGAGGTAGCTGCTGCTGCAGCACTGGAAGAGCTGGTGCTCGTGATGGTAGCCGTCTGATTCGGTTGGGCCAACTTGCTGATCGTCTCCGTTTTGGTGGTTTCCATTGGCTTGGGCGAGGCCACCGAATTGGCCCGTACCAGACTGCGTCCCTTGCTGCGGTTCGAGTTCCGCGATGTCATCAGCATGGAGCAGCCGAGCTTGCGATGGAAATCGCCGTAGGGCTGCAGGAACTTCTTGTACGCCTGCTTTACCAGGTTCATGACGCTGACCGTGCAGGGGGCAAAGCCCAAGCGAACGGCAATCATTTTCCATTGGTTCTGGGTCGTTACGCGATTGTACCCACCGCGCTTCTGGACGGCCCGAAAGAGGCGGTACAGGTCCACGTCGCGGCTCTGGATGGAGGGCACTTTGTTCAGCGGCGTGCCCCGATCGTCCATGTACTTGTAGAGCTGGGCCACAAAGCGATCCTTCTCCTCGTGCGGCTCGTCGTCGGACGAGTCCGAATCGATCTCGCCGTCGTCGTCGCTGGTGAGATTGGACAGGCCAAAGAGGGAGTCGCGGTCCCAGTGCGGCGGCAGGACGCTGCTGTCGAGGAATTCGAGGGCAGCCTGCACAGCAGGCACATCCTGTTTGCTAGCCACCTCCCTGGTAAATTCGGTGGCTTCCTTCTTGGGCACCGTATAGTAGCGTCCGTCCTTGAAGGATCTTACCAGGTACTCATCCTTCACGCGGATTCTGACAGTGGCCTGCAAAGTGAAGTGAAATTCTGTAATGAACGGGCAGCTCTGATCTCCAGCGAGAGCGAGGACTCACCTGAGCTGTGGGCGCCACCACCAAGGCGGGGAACCATTTCTCTTTGTCCTTCTTCTTGGACTCTGTCTCCACGCAGACGACCTGGCCAATGTTCTCCTCCTTCTCGTTGACCACTTCCTTGGCATCGCTCTCGTCATCATCATCCGAGCTATCCTCATTCAATTGACCCCTCCGACGACCCCTTCTTCCACCGACCACGGGATTGCCAAAGTGCTCCGGGTGGGTGAGCGGCAGCTGATCGAGGGTCTCGCTCTCATTGAAATGCCTGCCGCTCTTCAGGCACAGGGCCGTCCTCCTCAGAGTGGTGATGTCGCCATCGTCAAAGACGACCGTGTACTGTGAGCCGTCTTGGATCTTGGCAATGGTGGCCTCGACGATCTCCTTTCTGTCTGGGTGCCGCACCTCGACAACGGCACCCACGCGCATCTGGCCGGGCGGCGCCTTGATAGCATCGTCGGGCACGATGCCCGTGCCCAGGCCCTGTTTGTAGACCACCTTCACCTTGATATTGCGCACTACTTTGCTGACTTTCGCCTCGCAAAAGGCGCCCTTATACTTGGCACTCACCTCCGTGCCCACGGGCAGGGACGGAGGATCGTCCTGTTGCTGCATAACGACAAAGACGTATTTTCACTCCGTAACGAATCTCTCAATAGATGCCCGGCAGCATCTATCTATCTATTTTGTTTGGGATTGGGCTTTTAAACTGTATGGACTTTTGGATTTAGATCCAACTTTACTGCTTATAACTGTACATGTTGATGGAAAATAAAAACGATGCTCCTGCTTGGCGTTTCGCGTTCCCACACCACTGACTGTTGGCCTCTCGTTCTCTCACGGCCCACCCCCGTAAAACAGTAATTGTAAAACGCAATTTTCACTCGCCCTATGTCGTTGCGACCTCTCTGTGGGCACTTAACTACACCCGCCAGCACTTGAGAGGTATTTTTGTTTTCTTTTAAAAACTATATTGCACTGGATTTAATTCTAATTCTAACTATTTCACATTAGTTTATGTTTTTGGCGCACGAAATTTTCGCTGGAGATGACAAGTATGATTGCCAGCCCTCGATAGTATCTCTGCGTGCGATTCATCGAAGCACGGTTGTAAACGATACATGAGATTCGGTTTATTTACATTGGATAGCAGCCCTGCAAATATCTACGTACATTACTTTACTTACGCCATTTTATGACGAATTTCGCCGTTTTTTCGTTAATAAAATTGTTTTCTAAATATTATAGGCCTTTAAACTCAATCTTCTTATTAGTCAAATTACAATCATTCAATAAAATTTAATTTAAAAGGAGAAAATGGCTTTACTATTTTTTTGTATTTGTTTGGGGCTGAGATGCAGCTCCTTGGCCAGGGCAAAGCATAGATCTGTTTGCTTCATCAACGGAAATATCTATGACTGCGGGGTACGGTAGCTTGTATTTTGCCATTTTGTCTTAGAATCACGATCCGAGGGACGACGGTTTTATCATTATCATTCATCTTGTGGTTCCCTGGAATGACTTTGCGCTGTCAGCTAGTCGTGTGGTCAAATATACATAAGTTCGAAAGGATTTTATGGCTCGTTAGACATAACCACATCGAAACGAAGATAGATAGAAATATGATAGATACACAGATGTATAGATAGACAGATAGAAACTATTAATTTCATAAGGTTTCCATAAAAAATTCTGAAATTGTCACAAGGGCTGACACTTTTTTCCTGAACATCGTGTTGCATGTAGCAAGTTGTCCACTCCTGGAATGAGAACCAATATTGAAATCTAACAGCATGCTTAAAATGCATCCAACGGCCGCTTTGAAGATCCCCCAAAAAGAACGATGACCCACAAGCAGCCAGCCAGCTGTTTTCGACGACTCTCCAAAATGGCAGCAGCAGAGGATATACATACTTAACATAACACGCGTATAAAATTAATAATATCGCTATAATGGACGTAACTCCATACAAGTATAGAATGTTTGAATGGAAAATCGTGCTGGATCTCCGTTCTCGTGTCTGGTAGACCATGTATTTTATACAACTCAAATATGTAGCTTTTAACCTCTTTACAACATTTCAAAATGTAGAAAATTATTTAGATAAAAATGTGCCATCGGGCCACCCGATGCGATGCGGTGGAACATTCGCCAAATCAATGGAATCTGTAAAAACCTCCCTACGATTAATATAAAATATACTTTGAAAACTAAATGACTTTTACGTGAAGTGATAATAGATAATCTTAGGGGAGATTTTTGCAGAGGTCCTGAATTAGGAAAATGTTCGAATTGAAGGCATTCTGTTGAAGAGTGCCTGGTGTGTTACTTCTTCTGCTTTTTCTTTTCGATATCCTCTTCCTTCTCCTTCTCGATGATGTTCACATATTCCTGGATGACTTCCCGATCCAGCATCTTCAGCGGCTTGTTGTTCTCCATGATGGCCACCTCCAAGTTGTTCTGGCCCGACTGTGCCACCTCGAGCAGGGCGCGAACTGCCAGCTTGACGGCACCTTTCTCAGTGACCACATCTTCTTCACGATAATTCTTCTCGAAGAACTCGCGCACAGTCTTGGCCGAGCGACCCGTAGCGTTTGCTTTGTATTCATAGAAAATACCAGAAGGCTCGGTTTGGAACAAATGCGCCGAGCCATCGCCATCAAATCCGCCAATCAGGCAAGAAATACCGAAGGGACGGCGACCATTGCTCTGAGTATACTTCTGTTTCAGCTGGGCAATGTAACTGAAATGTACGAAAAATATAAATACATTAAGCCCAAAGGCAGTGAAAGGCACGGCACTATGCATACCGAGTGATGTACTCCAGAGTAACTTGGTCTTCAACATTAAGCCGATGGCTCTGGCACTCCACTTGGGCACGGTTAATCAGAATGCGCGCATCGGCAGTGAGGCCGGCAAAGGCCATTGTAATGTGATGGTCAAGCATGCAAATTTTGCGAACTGTGCGGTCCTCTTGCAACTTGGCAACAGACTTTTTCTCCACCCCCAACACAACGCAGCTGCCGCCGCGAACACCAACCTAAGGAATATAATTCATTTTGAGTAAAATTCATGCGAAATATTGCAACAGCGTGAGTTTTACCGCGGTCGAGCCCTTCCGGACGGCTTCTTGGGCATATTCCACCTGAAGCAAATGTCCGTCTGGCGAGAAAATAGTAACAGCGCGATCGTAACGTGAAGACATCTTTAGGAATTAGTCAACGAACAGATGATGCACTCGAGGATTATTATAATCTTGATTTCCCTGCGGCTTTTACGTTCAAAACTTTTTTGTCCGGCAATGATGATGCTTTTTTGAGGGAATCAGATCAGTGTGACCGCGGATTTATCGAAGAGATATACGGTCTGATTCTCAGAAGTATACCGAAATATACGTCACAGATTCAAAATATACCGAAAACAAAACACGAGCTCAACTCACTTCATCCCCCTCTGTTTAAACAGGCGAACAACTTGAGCTAAAACGCGGAAAATAATGCTGTATGTAAATTCTTCTTATAGATCTATTGTATCTTTCCTCTATCATTTTCGGTGAAATATTTAAATACCCCATTGGTCTACAATGGGTTAATCCTTCTCTGTCAATGATCCGTATGGAAGTTTCTATATCCTATGTTTTTTTTAATATATGTACATATCTTTAAAAATGAAATTAAATAGATTGATGAAATAGATGTAATATACCATAAATATACCTTGAACCATTGAACCTTGCAAACCATTTTTCCGGAATAACTTCTAAATCGTAGAGGTCTGCATGCTTATATATTATATTCCTTCAATAAACTCTCCACCGTATCTGATCTTCATACTATCCTGTCTCGCGCATCGAGTTCTCCATTCATACCCTATATTTAGGAACATAATTCTGTTCTTTGTTTTTCGGTTGACCTCTGAGAACTGAAACTGAAAAATAAACTGAAAAAGTCTTGCGTAAACATGCCATAGGCCATACGTAATTTAATGTTTATTCATTATACAACATGGTCGACTTCAGCCCTTTCGCTTGCGATTTTTGGAAGCCGACTTCCTGAGTTTTGGCATGACACAACCCGACGTCTTGCACTAACATTTAATACAGCTGCACTTGCGCAGATGGATCCACTAAAGGAACTGTCGTGCTAGTTATAGCATATAGAAATCCACCCAACCGGTTAGAAACTGCTTCGTTTCAACTTATATTGTATAAAATTGCCCTCCTTTATAACCTGTTAATTGTTGGATTGTCCCTACCTCATCATTGAACAGAATCGAGCTGTAGGGAAACACGTTTATTTTCCCGACCAAATTTACAAAAATCTAAGTGGATATCTATGGACATAAAATACTTGGGTGGCAGTAAAGATAGTAATAGATCGTGAGTAGGATACCACAAACATATAAGGCAATAATGGCAATAGAAAAATACAGGGCGATATATAGAACACAGACGATAATGTTTTGCAAAAGGCAAAATGTCAGGTACGAGGTGTACTTATACTTTGTTGGTCCATCTTTTACAGGGGTGAAAATAAATATATACACCACGCCAAAGGTCAGGCAATAGATATAGTTTAACATTCTAGATTTGGCAATCGCTGGCGAGTCCAACACAAAGACGACAGTGCCACAAAAACATACATGAAGGATGCACACCCCCAGTGTTTCCAGGGGGAAGAGACTGGCCATATACGCAATGCATAAAGTGCGTGAAACTGCGAAATAAAAAATATGTATAGAGTGCATACCGGTTATAATAATTACATGGTCGACTGAGTTACCCGTGAGACATAGGAGAAAAAGGAATTGCACAAAACGCCCCTTGGCCGCTATATCATATTTGTCTAGCTGCACCAGGCGATTAGAACGATTATAGGCCTGTATGCACCATGCAATGCTAACAAAATATATCAAGAAAGCCAACAGGCGATAATCTGAAAGTAAATCATATATAAAAATGCTTCCCATGTAAACCTATATCTAAATTACATGTCAATTTCTTTGAAGATCGCATCAGTATCACAAGCTGAAGTATTTTTTGGGGCGCAGATTCCAGAAACGAATCAAAGAGCCGGATAAAACCCACATCACACTCTTCCCTCAGCATTTGCTGATAGTATCTGAAAGGCAAACCAATTAATAATGCAGCTACCGATATGGAAACCCATGGCTAGCGAGATCCTGTACTAACTTTATTTCTAACTCTTTGTGGCCTTGTGTTTGTGCTTTGCTGTACTCCAGGGCATAATGTAGGGCATATCCGTCCCGAAAGAGATATGACAGCACAACAGTGGAGTACATGCCCCTCTGGTCTGAGTTGCTGGCAGACAATCTGAAATTGAGCATTGGAATACATGCGCTCAAGGCTCTGGCATTGGCATACTTACACATTCGTGTATACGGCCGATGTGATCACCATGGGCAACAGAATCGATCCAATTGTCCAGGCTGTGTAGCTGTAGGATCCCTCCAGCCAATAATCATAGGCCAGACTCCAGTTGATGATGATGGAAATGAAGCGCAAGACGACGGAGACTCCAGTTAGCACTATACTCAGCGGAGAGATCGGCACCATCACAGAGGCGTCCACTTCTTCCTCCATCCTGGTGCTAGTGATCTTCATTGCGCTTCAGAAAGCTTCAGCTTGGCCCGGCCCTTACTTGCAGATGACTCCGCATACTCGCACAACCTCCTAGTTTTACAATATTCTAAGAAAAATTCAAGCCAAGACAAGAACTGTAAACAATTACCGATGAAATATCGGATCGGTTCTGGCCGCTCTGAACCTGTTCACTTGATCAGTTTGTTTGGTTTTCCGTTTCAGTGTTCCTTTCACTTGTTTGAAAATATATTTTTTTCTTTAGAAAATGGGTTTATGATGATCTTAAGCCACAGCTTCCTTACGTTGGTGAAGTCTTTGGGATACATTTAAAGGGTAATTGCAAAATGAACAATGAACAATGCAATCGATTACCAAAAACGGAACTACTTCTATCGATAATCTAATCCGAGCTATCGAACCACCATAATACGAGATCGTAAATATTAACAATTATTTTATTTAAATTTAGGCTCGAACAGGTTCTAGATGAAAAAGAGAAATGGAAAACCAAAAATGAAAATAAAACAAAATCTTTATATCTATATGTATATCTTCGATCCATCGCGTGCCGTTCAATAATTACCATTTTGGATTCTATTTTCTTTCAAATTTATATCACTTTATTTGCACATTTATGATACTTGTATTCATTTAAAAAACATACAATACATATATATAAATATAATTTCCTTTAGCCCGTACCCACTTCATGATGAGCTATAAGAGTTATCCCTAATCCGATCCCATTGGGTGTTTTGATCCGTTCGATCAGATTAATACACAAGATTCATTGCCGTGACAAAAAAAAAAAACAATAAGCAATAGACATGAAAAAGCAAAGGCCTCATTAAATTTAATACATAGTTTAGAGATGGACGCACGACATGGCCAAAAGGGTACGACAATGTCTAAGCTGTCGTACATTTTTGTTTTTATTTTGTAAATTACTATTATAGAGACTTGAACGCGGCCTGAGTTGCGTGCAAAAGAGTAGTAGCCAGCCATGTGGCACGCCCATCTCCATATTTGGGTTTTACCTATGGAATGGTGCTAGCACCGGTAATACAAATTAGTTATTACATATTTTGAGTAAACACTTAAAACGAGTACAGATATATGTATGTATGTAAATCCAGTGCATAAATAATATCCATAAAATCCATATGCACACACCGCACGACCTTCCATCAATTATTTACTTGACTTTTGAATCTTGATAAGGTGTGTGCCGCCGAATGAAAAAGTAAATATATTCGAGATATTCGAGAGATTCAAGCGGTACTTTTGCAACTTAGAACTATGCAGATTTGTGAAAAGCAAACATGAAAATAAACATGGGAAACAAAGAGTACAAGAAAGGCATTGCCTGAACACCTGGACTGCTGCTGGCGGCGGCTGCGGTTAGGGGAGATTTCTGGTAGTTGCGACATAGGGTTTCGTTTCTGATAAAGTTGAACATTGATTCCACAAGATTGGCTGGCGTTATGTCGGTGCACTGTTCCAGCCGGTGGACCACGCACGACTGGAGGCTCAGCATATCATCACATTGTCGCTGGCCGACAGTCAGTTTGGGTATTGATTTGATCTTATTGTCATGGATATCCGCAGAGTTAAGATACGTAGAAAAGGTGCTATTCAGGCACTGTTGGATATTGTCCTTCTCGGACTCGAGGCACTCTGGCCCCTTCTCAGCAATAAACAAAGCTATTTGGTCTCCATCTTTGTGGCAAACAAAGTTCAATAAACTCTGAATGATCCGCTTGATAACATCCTTGCTTTCCTGCTCCTCCTTGTCAAGGCAAGGCGAGAGTTTGGCGGTGAACACATCAAAGCATTCAATGGCACTGGATCGCTTGTTGCAATACTTATTAAAAACCACATCCAGCTCGCCCTCGGGGCTCGCCTCTTCGATTTCCTGCTGCATTGTCGTATAGTTGACAATGCCGTTCACGCAATCGCTGAGAACTGCAAATCCGGACTCAATTTCTTCGTACGCCTTGCCGCCAGCATCCTCGCCGGCCACCTCTATGCACTTGTTGCGAAACACATCCTTGGCATCGTTGATGGTGAAGTTCGACTTCAGCAGCTCCTCCGGAAGCTGCTTCTGCAGCTCAATCTGGTCGAGGTTGAGCTGTGCCTGGATCCCAACATTGTTGAAGAGTATGTGTAGGACCACGCCGACTGCAATTGGCAAGAATTTCCTGTTCATCTTGACGATTGTCGATTGATTGATTGGCTTGTTAATTATGATCTCTTTGCTTAGAAGTCAATTGCACGATGACAAATATTGCTTGTATTTTATTGCACTATTATTGATTTGATTAATAACACTCAGTTGTTTCCTCACACACCATTAATGGCTTGTGAGACTAAGCAAACTGTTTAGCAGTAGCAAAAAATTAATTTAATTAGGTAATTACTAGTTGCTGCTTATAAATATATTATAAATATCTAGTCATTCTGTTTATCATCGGTATGTGCAGGTGCAATCGGTTGGGTATCGGAACGGTTGGAATGGAACAGAATACTTGCGCAAGCTTTTGGATAAAATTAATATGTATATACATATATATAAGTATTTTTGAAAGATATAGTTAAATAACATTCTATTTTAATTTTAAATTAATTTCCATAAAACAAAAAAAACTTATATTTTATCTGTAAATTAAACATATGATATTATATTTTCAAAAAAGTAAAGAGAGTTGAGGAACTATATACCGTATAAAACCATACAACCAGTATTTCAATATCATAGTATTAACATATTTTAGATGCAATGACGCAAGGTAACTTATAAAATTATAAATTTCAATTAAATGTACCGGGAATCTGATAAAAACATTGTAGAGTAATTGAGGCAATGGCTTTTAATATATTATTACCATATTTATTCTTAATTCTTGTTAATATTGAATATATGTAAAACAATTAACGCAACTTGGAGTCAGTTCCATCGTTTCATATCCAAAGCTATTATTGAATAGATATCGATATATATCTAATCACCCAGGTATCATCATTAATAACCTTACCAATTCAATTGTCCAGCAATAGTGGCGGGAATATGGCATTGTTTCGAAGTTGAGCGCAGGGTGGCCGCTTACGGTATTTTTTTAAGTCAAAATTGAACTGACGGTATATTTACGGTATATCGGTATATAATGGCATATTTTGTCAATTTCATCCATCTATTTTTTCAAAGGAATTTTCGCGCAAAAATTGCACTTACGTGTATCATTTATTGCAATAGATTGCATTCAAATCCGTTCCGCTCATTCACTTTCAAACAATTTATATTTGGCGCGCACCTCTCGTGTCCAGTTGATTGTTTCGATAACCGAACTTGAATCGGGTAAGGTTCTCTTTGAACCGGTAGGCAACAATGAGTTCCATTCTATACTTTTAAATTATGTACTTGAATAACTTTACTTTGATTGGAACTGCATTTCCTAACCGTTGTACGTGATATTCATATTCAGTAGGTGGAGCATATTCAGAATGTTGTTCAACGAAAATTGGACCTTGGATGGTATACCATTCAGGCTGAGCCATTTTAATGGCTGAAAGCTGGTGACACTCGAACAGTCGCTAAGGGTGACAGTCCGCAATTATTGGAGAATATTAACACGACATATCATCCGGACATTCTGTCGCATCCGTTTCCTGCCATCACTAATCAGCAGGGTACTTGCCATGTTGGTCACTTTAACGCAGCCTAGGGACTAGTAGGTAGGTATTGATAAGTTAGTTTTAATATGTATTTTATATATGTACATCACATATAATATATCCACATAAACTTAGTTTTTCATGCGTTGGGTTTAAATATACCGCCACATTACAAACCGGTTAAAACGGGAAGGACCCGATTTTTTCTTTCGGCCACCATTCTACCGAAAATATTGAAAATTTAATAAAAAAAATCTAGGTCAAGTATTTAAAATAAGCCAGTCAAGTAGAAAATAGATTGACTAATTGGATAAAATTATGTGGGCAGGGCTGAGAGATCTATATAGCTAGTAATATTCAACGGAATATAAAAATCGAGGAATATAGAACTTGAATTCGTCAGTATATTTACGGTATATTTTTAAAATGAGACGGTATATTTTGGTATATCTCTGAGGGTCGGACGGTATATTTTAACGATAAATCCGCGGTCACACTGGTTGATCGAGTTCCGCTAATTTTTGTTTGAATTTGTTACTGCTAAAAATGTCCGACACTGAAAACCTTATTGACCTGACCGGCTGGGATGAACCACAAAAAGAGGAGACAATATTGGAGGAACCCGAAGCCTCAATGGTTGAGTCCAACAGTTTCAAGGGACCCTACGATCCTTTCGATTCTGTTGAAAAAGAGGCTTGCATCAAGGTTAGCCACACACTACCAAATGTTTAACTGTATGCGAAAGCATACACTCTTACACACACACACACCTACAAATAATTTTTTAGGGAATTAACTTGACGACTCTTGAAAAAGAGAAGGAAGAAGCAAAGGCTGTAGAGAATCGGTATCCTGATCTGGAAAATGAAAGTCCACCCGTGTTGGTCCACCCGGATGTTGCGCCCGGCGAGGCAGCACGGCCGCCCAACCGACCCACAAACAACTCGTTTCAAAAGCAATTGCTCAAGCTTAATGCCTCGCGATTGATGATAAATACACCGCCGCATAATGGCACAAAATCGAGGGGAACAGCAGGCGACTCACAAAAAAAAAATTTTGATAAAACAATTTTGGCAGAAACTCTGCAAATGATCGTCGCCGAATCGCCAGTCAAGCTGGTAGAAGAGGAGCCACCCGCTGACAGTGGCTATCGTTCCAATGCCAATTTCGAGCAGGATTTAAAAATGCTACGCATACCGATCTTGGACGCCATGACGGCGAAGGAAGAAACACCACAGGAAGAGAACAAGGCAGATTTCCACACGCCCGAGAGTCAAACGCTGATCGGGCATCAGTCGAAAAGAAAGAATGTGGGCGAACTTTTGCAAGAGTTGAAAACTCTAGTGCATGACAAAGTGGACATTACGAAGAGGTATCATTTTGACTCGGTGATTGAGTCGCTGGATGCAGCCATCTTCGGTGGCACGCCCACTTCGATGTGTGTTGCGGCTGCTGCTTCAGGAGATGGGGACTATACCACTCCAGTAACAACATTGCCACACTCGTACACACGGCAGGGAACCTTTGACCTCGAGCTGAAAGTATGTTTTTTTAAATTATTTTAAGTACTTGTTGAAGGCAGGGCTTTATGTTGGATAACTCTCTTACAGGACAAAAGGACAATGTCTGTGGAGGAGCAAATTACACCCGGTAGCAAAATGCAGGACTTTCCCGATGCCATGGTCTGCTCTTCGGCCACATTCGATGGCGACTCCCGTCCCGATCTATATGATAAGGATTTACATCCAATGAGTGCCCCAGCAGCACCAGTGCCCCAAAAGAGAGAGCCATTCATGACTGAATTGGTGGACGAATCCCTGGCCTTTCAAATCAATGAGATCCTGGAGCGCCACAATCGCAGCCACAACGAACACCATGGTGCCGATCCACGAACAGTCATTCTCTTGGTTAATCCCAGCAATGGGGGGCAGTATCCAAGCAGCTGCTTTGTACAGCCGCCATCTGCAGATCTGCAGCCTGCAGTTAAAGCGACTGTGTCAAACGATGAGGCGGGCTCAATGCGTCGACGATCCTCCTCTCTGTCCATTCACGACAAGTCCAAGTTGATGCCGGAGAGGAAGGCCAGTCAGTTGATTGAAAACATACAGAATGTGCCACCAAAAGAGCCACGAAATACTTTATCGAGCAGCAGCCTTCCTGGTGGTCCGCCCCCGTTCAGACAGCGTCGTAATTCGTTTTCGATTGTCAATCCGCCAATAAAGGGAGCCGAGGCCAACAGGCGCTCAATCCTGGGCAGCCGCATGAAGACGCCGTCCATCAATGAGCCGATGTCCAAATTCAATGGTTTTACGAAGGCATCCATACCCATTAAGCGTGTCATACCTATTGTAAAGCCACTCAGTGTGGCTCCCAATGAGGGAACGTACCTCAATCCAGTCCATCCACCAGACACGCCCATGCCATCAAAGCCAAAGGCTGGCCAAAAGATCTTTCACACGAGCACACCGCTGCCACAGATGCGCGTACAGCAGCGTAGATCATTGAAGCCAGTGACGGTGAATGCAGTGGTCAATGCATCGTATTCCACGCCAAATATCAGGCGCCCTAGCTTCTCAAAAAAGCCGGGTTCCGGATAGCAAACGAAATGCAGAGCGGGCAAGGCACCAATGTCGTATGAAAGTGAATTATTCCAATTGTGATGTTGTTTAACCTTGAAGATAAACCTTCCCCACAAAAAGGTCAGAATGGCCGCAGTACGCAGCGTGTTTTGGCTATCTCCCAAATGAAGTATTACTTTTTCTTTTGATTTGTTTTTTTTTTATGTTTTTGATGTCTTAAGATAAAGCGAACTGATATGTAGAACCCCGGCCCTCCAGCACCACAGTACTTAATAAGTTTCAAGAGAAATACTCCATACTCTTTCTATTACTACAAGAAATGCTCTTTCTATTATTATCCTAAGGACAAGAGAGCTATTTACTTGGAACCCTTACTCAGATTGAGAAAGAGAGAGCCTGAGCCTCTTCTTCTTCTATGATTTATCAAATAAAATCAAAAAGGATTCAGCATTATTTAGTTATTCAAAAATATGTATGTTTATTGTAACGAAAAGAAGCATAACATTAGGCAAAGCCAATGGAAATGTGGGGCATGGCATGGACGGAGTGGCATTTACTGATTATTCAGCTTACTCTTCAGTATGCTCAAATGGGTCAGGCAATTGTCGCGATAAGTGCGTCGCTCGACCAGCTTGTCGAGCGGCACCATCTCGTTCAGCTGCTTGGACACCTCCTCGGCCACAGGCCCCTCCATCTTGGGCGTGGGTCCCATGGTCTCGCTGACGTTGTAAATGGTCTTCGAGTAGCGCTCAAAATAGTTGGCCATGCCCTCGGCATTCAGATGGGCCGTCTCCAGGGGTCCCAAGAAGGCATAACGCATGCCCAGGCCATCGCTCATCACACTGTCGATATCCTTGACATTTAGGATGCCAGCCTCCACCAAACGCCAAGTCTCATTCAATATGGCATACTGTATACGGTTCAGGGCAAAGCCCTCAATCTCACGCGACAGCGTCACCGGCTTCTGGCCAATTTCGTCCATCAATGCACGGGTCTTGACCACAAATTCCGGCTTAGTCCATGGCGCTGGCACAATCTCCACCAGAGGAACATAGTACGGTGGATTGACGGGATGTGAGACCAAAACCTGTTTAACGAAACACAAAAATTGTTAACATTTCCATTACAGATTAAGCCGAAACGGGGACAAGGACAGATGACACACAGACCCCCGGACACACGGCGATGCATGCGCTGGCCTGCTGCTCTGCTATCTGGAGTCTCGTCTTGATAGATATATGGCTGGACTGTGTTTACTTACGTTCTGCTTGTTCTTCAGATCCGAACTGAACAGAGACGGCAGGAAGGTGCTCGTTGAGCTGGACAGTATGGTCTTGGGATCCACAACAGCGTCCAGCTGCTTGTAGAGCGCTTTCTTGAGGTCCAGGCGCTCGGGTATGCACTCTTGGATGAAAATGGCCCCCTTGACCAGCTCCTTGATGTCGTTGGTGCCGGACATGCAGCTAAACTGTTGCTTAGCTGTCAGCTTGCCACGCAGCAGGCCCTTGGCCTCCAGATCTAGCAGCTCCTTTTGTGTGGCCGTCAGCGCCGTGGACACCTGCTCCGGCAGGATATCGTAGAGCATCACCTGATAGCCAACAGAAGCGAACAGCATCGACCAGGAGCGTCCAATGAGACCGCTGTGAAAGCAGAATATGTGTATGGATGTAGCAGGGATGCCCTATTCGGTTGGGTCCTTGCTCTTATTTCTGGTCTCACCTGCCCACAATGCCGACCTTCTCGTTCTTTTTCACCTGCGACATTTTAGATTGTGTGTTTTCTTTGTGTTGTTTCGGCCGCAGAGCTCTAACGAATCAATCCAGACCAACCTAGACGAGAGTGCAGAGGCGTTTGAACAATTGTACAATAGCGCAACCGGTTTAATATTAAGGCGATAAGGGGCGGACAAGCGACAGAGGTGAACCCGAAACAACAACCCAAGTGCTGCTCTAATGGTGTGTGGCTTCGGGGTGTTGGTAGCCGTGTTTGGCGATTTTCCAAAGAGATAATGAGAGCCCCCCTCCAGCCCAACTATGATGCGATAGTGTGGCACCAGCACCAGCACCAGCACCCCGCTAGACAATTCGTCATCCTAGACAAAGCCACCCGGACAGCATGCAGTCTCCCAACATCCTCATACCATATGCTCGTGGCCAGACACTCCAAACTGGAAGCTTTTGTTTATCTCTATTTTCTTTCGTCTTCGGTATTTTTCCACCCCACTTGTGTGTGCAGCAGTTTATCGCGGCACGGTGTACTGTTGGGGGTATAGTACCCCGATTTCCAAATGGGGGGGCTGTTGTGCGTGTGTGTGTGTGTGTCAAAAATGCCCTTAATTTGACATTTATAATTAATTCCAACACGGCAAGCGACAAGTGACCGAGGTAGTATCTTTGTGATTTGTTGGGCCCACCACTACTACAAATATTTGCTAACTAAAAGAAATGCAGTGGCAGAATCACTATGTACGTAGCTCTATCTGGGAATGTTTCAATGTTTTGCTTAAGAACCAAAATAATGTAAGTCACATGGAGTACATAAAACATATGGTTTTAGTCATCGATGCACACACGCACAATCGGCTATTAATTGGCAGTGCGTGTGCCATCATTAGATCATGTAATAATCTTTTTAAATGCACATTTTAATTGATGAATCTACTTAGATTCAAAGGAAAATCTATTGCTAAGCTGTCTAGTAATATATTACCATCGTCGTATAAGTCGAGTATGGGGTTGGCTCCAATAAAGAAGGAAAGTCTTTAGTCATATCATATGTGCTGCCTTGCCTCTCCCTAGCCACACGAACATCCTCACGCTTTAGCAAATTGGATCCGATCCCATTAAATGTTCCAAAATATTTATCATTTACCATAGCCAAATAGATAATAGATACTTTTTGATAATTTAAACGTCTATTAAATACCTTGTATGTACAGAATAATCCATACTTTCTCGATGATTCGGGGCTTTTCTGTAGATTTTAGGATTAAATAATTAATTAAGTAAATACATGCGATTAGAGATTAGAGAACACACTCCATAAAGGGCTATATCTTTGTGATTATTTAAACATTTATTGAATATAACTTACCCTATCGATGATAGCTGTAGGGGAGGCATTTCTAGAGTTTCTCTTGGGTATCATCTAAAGATTATTAGCAAGTAATAGCTGGGCATGCACATATTAGGTATTAATCGCTTTGTATGCAGTAGCAGAAGATTAAAAATTGATTAGATTTGCGATTCGAAGCACTGAAATTTATTTTTTACTTAAACAGAATACATACATATGTAAACAATACAAACACACACACACACTTATATATATACAGTTGGTATAAGAACGACCCATCGTGGTCGTCTCTGTCCCTATCTTTTTCATATATGTAATTCATTAATTGATGCTTCATTAGCTGGGTAATTTACTCTTTTATGTATATTGTGTGCTCTTGGTGATGGACCATAGATATATCAGTATTATATTCAAAAATATAATCTATATTACTAACTTTGTTCTATGTTGGGATTGGATGATTTCTCTTTTATATTGAAACTTAGCTACAAGTAGGATTCACTTCTTACAACGCCATTTTGCGTCCTTCTATGGATATTTCGACGGCTCGACGACTCTCCTTCAAGCGCTTCGAGTCGAGGAAACGCTTCATGTGCTTTTCATAACGATTTGGCTTACGCTTTGTTGACTGAAACACACAAATTGTTAGAAATGAGTTAGAAATGGAATGCCATTAATCCCGAACACACAAAGGCTTACCGTAGATACTTCGCCCTCCACTGTGGACTTGGGACGTATGACATAGTCCTTGTTGGAAGGCATTGGTACACGTGCACGAGCCACCCAACCGGGATCACCGGGACGCAGCTGCTTGTCCTCGCTGGAAAATGTTTGACTGAGTGAGTGGGAGCGGCTTTCCTCGGAGGCCGCCTGATTTGGCTCTGGACTTTTGTTCCTGTGCCGTGACATTTGTGCCAGATCACGTTCCTGCCGCTCCTCCTTGCTCATGGCTGAAAAATTACAGCTTAGGTTGAAGATGGGGCGGGCCCATTCGGATATTAGCCGACCAGCACGATCGCGATTCTGTTTGGTTTCCTGGGGATGCTTGTACAAGTACATCACAGCCTTGCCGATGCCCGACTGCTTCAGCAAACCCTTCTCTATCGTAGGAAACTAAGGGAGAGGTGAGCAAAGGATATACGATTATAGAGATATACAGAAAAGAGCTTTAGGTCGACTGCTCCTTACATCCGATAACAGGCGTAAAATACTCTCGCGTATTTGCAGGCAGGGCAGACTTTTGTTTGGCAATGGCGCCAGCCAGTCGGTAAGTACGTTGAGTATATTGTGCTCCAAAAAGGCCAGCTGCAGATCCTTTTTGATCAGCTGCGACATCACTTGCTTTAGCATCGATATTTTCTTGGTGGCCGGCTGTCCGGTCATGTTCAATTGCCTGTCATCATCCGAGGCATTCTTCATGCTTATAATTAATTGATCGATGAGGTCGTCATTATCATTAATCAGATCAATATCTGGCTTGCGGCGTCGTACGCGCTTCTCCTCCTTCTTACGCAGTAGCATTGCATCAAAGTCCGACATAAAATTGTTGTGGCTGCAATTTAAAGATTTCAAAAATTAAATCTTAAAATATTCTAAGCCTGTCAATGGGAATCCTCTTACTCTGGTTCATTTGAAATGGGTATATTTTCGTCATCGGAACTCTCTACATTCTTGTCTTGGGGCTTCTCCGTGGCGGAAGCATTTGCCGGCGTCTCATCGTCGTCTTCATTGTCCGTATCCGTAATCTTGGGACGTTTCTTTTCGACTGTGGGTGCTTCATCTGCAAGCGCATTTGTGCAAATGAATACTGTTTGAACTGAATGCTACACAAAAAGTTACCTTCAGAGTCGCTGATGGCCTGTCGCCTCCGCCTTGAAGTACCTATAGATCCAGCACTGCCAGACCGCGAACGGTCTTGGGAACCATTTCTTTTTTTATTTGGTGATTCAACGCTGTTGGATCGACTGCGAGACTTTCTCGAGCCACTGCGCGATTTTCTAGAGCCACTGCGAGACCGAGAGTGTTTGGATCCACTGCGGGAGCGTCTCGAGCCACTGCGAGAACGTCTCGAGCCGCTGCGGGAACGTCTTGAGCCGCTGCGGGAACGTCTCGAGCCAGATCCGCTACGAGAGCGCCTGGATCCACTGCGAGAGCGTCTGGAGCCACTCCGAGAACGTCTCGAGCCGCTGCGGGAACGTCTCGAGCCACTACGTGACCGCCTAGAGCCGGATCCACTGCGAGAGCGCCTGGAGCCACTCCGAGAACGTCCAGAGCCAGATCCACTGCGAGATCGTCGCGAGCCAGAGCCACTGCGAGAGCGCCTTGATCCTGAGCCGGATCTGCTGCGGGACCCACTACCCGAACGCCTGGAGCCACTACCCGAGCGCCTAGAGCCACTGCGCGACCGTCGAGATCCTTCCGAGTGGCGCGACCCACTGCGCGACCGTGAGCCACTGCGAGAACTTGTGCCTGAAGCCTTGGATCCGCTGCGGGACCTTTCTGAGCCACTGGCCGAACGCGTGGGCTCGCTTCTATCGCGAGTGCGGCTTCTAGAGCGCGATGAACTGGTTTCCTCCTGAGTTGGTGGCGATTCGGAAACGCTTTTGTTAAGGCCATCGGGTGCTGCATCATCGATTGTTGTTGTGGAAGTCACTTCGCATGTCGAATCTTGAATTTCCTTCGACACTGCTTCTGTCGCCATTGTCTCTGAAGTTATTGCGGATGCCTCGGCGTCATCGCCACACGCGTTTTCTTCAAAAATAAACAGTTAGTTAGAGACGTATTGGTTATTAACTTATTTTATAATCAACCTGGTTCTGACGCCTCCATTTTGGGTGGCTTTGTGAGTAGTGTACAAGAAATTAAACAAATACGTTGTGCATTAAATCTGAATTACTTAAAAAAAATGCGACGGAAGGTTACTGCAAATACTATTTTCAACAACACAATTTCAATAACTCCCCAACACGTTTATGTTTTTTTCTGTCAAAAATATACTAGAATATACCATCTCATTTTATAAATATACCGTAAATATATTGACGAATTCAAGTTGTGTTATACATACATGTTACTCGATTTTGATATTCCGTGGAATATTACTAGCTATATAGAACATTAAGCCATGCCCACATAATTTTATCCGATTAATCAATCAATTTTCGACTTGACTGGCACATTAAATACTTGGCTTTGCTTGTTTTTGCCTCAATTTTGGTTTCTCAACAACAATATAGCGACTCGTATGATGGAAAACCGAGCTTAGCCCACTTAAGCCCCCTATATTTAAATAGTTCAACTAGTTAGTATAAACTACTTGAGGTAAGTGGCGGAAAATATTAACGACTGTAAATTCTTCTTGTAGATCCATGCCATCCTCTCAACTTAAAAAAACATCTCAATATCTTTCACCTGAACTGCGCTAAAATTAGTCAATTTTCATTATAGTCGGTGGAAAATTGAAATACGCCCTTGGCTTATAATAGGTTAAACGTTCTCCGTCAAGGATTGAAAACCATATTGCTTAATTTTGATGTTCCGTCAAATATAATAAGCTACATAGAACATTTAGCCATGCCCACATAATTTTATCCAATTAATGAACCTATTTTCTAATTGACTGGCTTATTTTAAACACTTGCTTTTATTGGATTTAGCGTAAAAAGAGGTTTTAGCGAAAATGGTCAAACAAAAAAAGGTTTTAGGGAAAAGGGTCAGATGGGCCTAGACAGATCATTGGTCGCATCATTAAGCGGAGTCTGCGTTGGAACTGTCCTGGAACTGGAACGATTAACTGCCATCAAGGAGATTAACAGTTTTGGGCTTGGGCTGAGTTGATACAATTTGATCTGCTAGGCCGATATGCAAAGCTGTGTGAAGCGCGAGTAGGATATTGTTAGTTTAAGAATTTAGGCAGATATCGTGTCTTTCCACTGACCTTGTTGATGGGACACGGAAAGTGTCCTGGCCGCTTGCAGCAGTCGGCCTCATCGTGGACATTGTCACAGTTGTCACAGGTGGTACCATCCCAGATCAGAGCCTTGTCGCTGCCCTCTGCTGACTGTCAGCTGAATCCGCCGGGCAGTCCTCCCAGTCCAGTCACTACTCCCGCCACTTAAAATTTTCTGGCCGGATACACGCCGTAGTTCTCCTTGTCCTCCAGTAGCATCAGATGCTTGGGGCACGAGCAGACGTCGTTAGGCTATGCAGATGTGGGAACAATTTGGGCAACTGTGCCATGTGATTGCGCAACACTTTCGCACCCGGTGTCCACACGGCACTGATGTCGGTGAACTGCGACAGACGATGCAGCTCCGCGGAACGACGCTCTCCGTTGACAGTGATCCACTCCGGTCTGATCTTGTCATCCAGCCAGTACACAAATGCTCCCAAGGCGGCAATGTTGTTCACTTGCGTGATGTGCATGGAAACAAAGGTTTTCCTGTGAGAGGGAACAGGGGATTACACATGTGTTCAGAGGGTCGGGTCTCCATATTGGTTGCTTACTTGTTCTTTCCTTTAAGGTCTATCACATTGATTCACTTGCCATGGGCATAGTAGACTGTTGTAGTCGGACTGTTGGTCCAGGGCCAGCGCCGTGACTCTTTCCAGCTTGTAGGCCAGCTCCACACGCTCATTGCCTTCGAATCGGGCCCGAATGATGGCCTGATGGCTGCTGACATCTGTCCAGAAGAGCAAACGCTTCATGGCATGCACGGCAATGTTGCGAGGCTTCTCCGAGTCCCCGGTATCTTAGACGCCTACGGATTCACCCAGGAAGCTAAAAGAGGCAACGCTTTAGGAACACAATTGTGCGGATAAATCGGAGAGAGAGAGAGATTCACCTTGTCACGTTAATGCTGTTGGAGTAGGAGCAGGTCCAGAAGAGCAGCCGCCCAATGATGTCGATTGCAATGTCGAACGGCTGTCCGGAATTGGCCAAGAGGCTCACCTTTGTGCCATTTGCCAGAGAACGCTTGATGCTGTGACTCCTGCCTTCGATCTTGAAAAGAAAAAGAAGGATTAGGGATATTAGGGACACCGTGCTCAGCCTCTGCTAATCCTCCTTACCCAGTAAATGTAATGCGAGATCGGATCATAGTCCACGGCGCGGATATTCTTGCCGGACACTGGCAGCGGCACATTCGGGCAGTCTGTCGTGTTCGGCAGCAGTCGGCCGAAGCTGTTCCTCAGGCTGAAGATGATGTAGTTCTTGCAGGAGACCCCGTTCTTGTTCATCTGGTAGTGGGTGGGGCAGGCACAAGTCATGCCCCGTCTGCCGGGCTGGGCCAGGCACAGGTGGGAGCAGCCCCCGTTGTTGACCTTGCACGTATTAGCCCCACCTGTCGCTTGTCGTTGCACACAAGCAGCGAAGTGATGTAAGTCATGCCCGAGTGGACGAGGCTGCGGTTCTCGCCCGTCGTCTTGTGCACCCGCTCAATGTCGCCGGTGTTCCAGTCGCTCCAGTACACGTAGTCCTGATACAGGGAAACCGCGTACGGCTCATCGGTGTCGCTGCAAACCAGTATCGGGTGCTTCTTACCATCCCAGTCGGCGCTCTCTATCTTCGCTGGCCGCGACTGGGTGGCACAGGTACAGGCGGTGGAGCAGACCCCATTACCCACGGCACCCGCACGTTCTCCACGGTCTTTCCATCGCACCAGACGCCAGAATCCCGAAGACGCCGGGGCTGAGGAAGCGAGTAGTGGGCCACAACTTCGCCAAAGGACGCCGCTGGTCGTTTCGGCATCGCTGCAGACTCTGTGGCTCGACTTTACCTGTAAATGCGAAGAAGGTGGAAAGCACGGAATAGCCGTGGAACAGCGGCTGTTTTTGGGGAGTGCCCTGTGACATCAGGACTTACAGCAGCCACTATAGGCATACGCACAAGGCACTTTTGTTCATACAACAGTAGCATAAACAAACGAGTATCATTCCAATTGCTCAATTCTTTATTCCGTCGAATATTCCCAGCTATATAGAACATTAAGCCATGCCCACATAATTTTATACGATTAATGAATCAATTTTCTACTTGATTGGTTAGTTTTTAGTCCTTGCTTTTGTTGTATTTTGACTAAAACAAGGTTCAAACAAAATAGTTCAACAAAAAATCAGTTGCAATGTTGCTGGTATTTAAAGACGTGATGCGTGTATAGCCCTTTGTACACCCTATTTCGTTAAATTTCTATGTAGATCAAACGCAATTTATTAAGACCTTTTCTCAAATTGACATGTTTTTGACTTATTCATGTGTATTATTAGTATCTTGTATATATTTATCTCGATCCTGATACCTACTGAGCCTTGGAAGACAAACGTATTCACAATTCTATAACATCCATTACCCCCAGGGTATGTGTGCATGGAATTAGCAACATGTTTGTGTATGGAATGAGACTCATTGTTGCAAAAGCAAAACTGCGGCGAATCGGGTATTGCCTATATTTCAATCTATAGATGCCCACTTAGCTTTATCCCATAGATAAATGCATTTTCTACAAGATTGCTTCTTTTAATTACCTTAATGTATTTTATTTTGACTAAAATACGGTTTTCAAGTAAATGTTGCCGCAACAGTGTGTATGGAATGTGCAACATTGTGTATGGAACGAGACTCATTGTTGCTAAAGCGAAATTGCGGCGAACTGCGGCGAACTGCGGCGAACTGCGGCGAATTCAAATTTCTCATATTCTTTGTTCCGTTGAATAATACTATCTATATGGAATATTTAGCCATGCCCACTCAATTTTGTACGACTGATGAATCAATTCTATACATGATTGGCCTATTCGAAATACTTGCATTTATTGGATTTTTATATAAAATTGAAAATTAAATTAATAGATTGATGAAAATTGACAAAAATACCATGACAGCGCGGCGAAAACCAGTATTTCTACAGTATGACCCTCAGAACAGCACCGAAATATACGGTCTCATTTGAAAAATATACCGAGTGGCGCGCGCCAAATCGAACTTTTTTGAATGTGAGCGACAAGGATTTAAATGTTGTCAACCGGGCCTTTATCTATGCCCACATAATTTTATCCAATTAATGAACTTATTTTCTACTTGACTGGCTTGTTTTAAATACTTGCATTGTTTTCCTGCTACGGCGATTGCTTTGATTGTTTTTGCTCCAATTTTGATCCCTCAACAACAATGTAGCGTCTCGTATGATGGAAAAACGAAATTAGCCCACTTAAGACCCCTCTATTTAAATAGTTCAACTACTTGATTGTAAATTATTCTTCTAGATCCATACCATCTTGTATCTGAATTTAAAAAAAAACACGATATCTTTCACCTGAACTGCGCTTAAATTATTAATCTTCATTATTTTCGGTGGAATGGTGGCCGAAAGCAAAAATCGCGTCGTTCCCGGTTTAACTGTAATGTTCGTAATGTGGCGGTATATTTAAACCCAACGCATGAAAAACTAAGTTCATATGGATATATTATATGGTGTATATCAAATACATATTAAAACTAACTTATCGATACCAATTTTAATATTAGTCTCTGGCTCTGTAAAATGGCTCAGCCTGAATGGTATACCATCCAAGGTCCAATTTTCGTTGAACAACATTCTGAATATGCTCCACCTACTGAATATGAACATCACGTACAACGGTTAGGAAATGCAGTTCCAATCAAAGTAAAGTTATTCAAGTACATAATTTAAAAGTATAGAATGGAACTCATTGTTGCCTACCGGCTCAAAGAGAACCTTACCCGATTCAAGTTCGGTTATCGATACAATCAACTGGAAACGAGAGGTGCGCGCCAAATATAAATTGTTTGAAAGTGAATGAGCGAAAAGGATTTAAATGCAATCTATTGGAATAAATGATACACGTAAGTACAATTTGTGAGCGAATTTGTGGCCGATATATCTGTGGCCTCTATCAGAGCCGATGTAACGAATTGGGAATGGAAATAAGGGAATTTCTTAAGGTTGGTACACAGAACGAATCGAATACGTAAATTCGACTTATTAGTCGACGACATTTGTGGCATCAAGAGAACAAAAAAGTTTGCTTAAAAACTATAAGAGACCAGGGCACCCGGTTCTCTGCTAACAGACTAACTGCAAAAACAGAGATAGCCCTATGGAAAAGGCATGACGTGATAGCGGGAGAGACAAATCCGTCCAGTTGAGCTGGGAGCAGCGCTTCAGCAGAATTTATCGATTGTGACCCAATTTTGCTGGCTAGCCTTTGTGTCATGAGGCTTTAAACGCTATTTCCAAAGGCCAAACAAAATTGAGAATGTGATCAACAATAAGGCGGCCTACATTTGGGATTTGCTAAGATGTTGTTTGTGGCCGCCAAAGGAATCGGAAAAAGTACGGCCCATGGTTCCGAAAAATTTGTCGGGTGGACAATTCGATGACTGCGCTATCGGAATCTTATCGGAATACTCCCACTTGAAATCTTCCATCTCTAAATTACTAATAAGAAAATCAAAACAAAACATTACATTTACTTTACTTTACCCTAGCCAGGCAATCAACCATGAAAAATGAGCAAAGTACCATATGTAAGAACCTTAATTAATGTTACCAAACTCTGAAATTGCATATTATATCTCTTTTGACACAGCTTTGTTCGCCGAGGATATCCTCAGGGATTACGGCTCGTTCATGGAGGAGCACGATAGCGCTATGAAATCATTAAAGAATGAAATGCTTAGCTTAAATGCGGTCGAGCCTGTGACGGTGGTGGCCATGACATCCCCAATAGAACTCAATTACGGCAGCGGTGCCAATGCCAGATTCTGTGACACGAGTGTGGAGGAATCCGAACTGGTGGCCAATAAGCCATTAAAAACCCTAGCCAATCTGTGCAATCAATGTCGGGATCTGTCCCTAACGGCCAAGCAGTATCAGTTGGCATTTCTCTTCAACGACTCTCAACTGGGCGACGGCCGACTGCCCACAGTATCCGACACAGCCGGACTGGAACGATGCCTCCACCGCATGAGCAACGCCATAGATTTCTTTTGTCAGGTGTACTTTCTGCTCAAACGCATTATTGTGATGGTTCAGACTCTTTGGAAACAGATCAGTGCATCTGGTGGCATGCCACTGGAAATCAGCGAAGTACACTTGTTTGTGAGTATTTCCAAGAAAGAGAGATCAGATCTTACGTGTGACTAAATTCGTCTCGTATTACAGACTGTCTTTGACGCCATGACTGAACTACTTGAAGATTTGGTCGTTTTTAATGAAATTTCGGATCAATTAAAGATTGCGGCCAAGTGGACGTTGTACAAAAAGTGGCTAGCGGCGCTGTCAAACAGCAAACAGACCTCTGACCAATGCAGCAGCATGGAGTTGAATGGACTGTTGAGCTCTCTCGATGATATAGAGACTGTGATTACGGGCAATCTATTTGGCATCCTACTGAACAGCCTGCTGGAGCTGAAAAAACAATTCACCCTTAAGGACATCAATCATATTAATCAACATTCCAATGCATATATTCGTAAAATAATGCTTGAAATTGAGGCAAACCATGGCAACGACTACAAGAACTACGAGGACCCCAAGAATGTGATACGCCTCACAGCCTTTGTGGCAGTGCTCCATGAGCTGGGCATTCAGATGGAGGGAAAGCTGATAAAGAGTGTCTTGGATGTGGCAAGCAGGCATAAAAGATTGGCCCTCAATCAGAGTGTTTGCTGGTCGCCCTCTGCCTTTTTGGCCAGGCATGCCAAGACGCTGATAAAGACACCCCCCCAAGCGAAGCCGCAAGATAACCACAAGTCCCATCACGCGCTCATGGAGAAGATCAAGCTGAGCGACCAGAAAAAGTGCCGTCATCTGGGCACACAGATCTGCCTGTGGACGATCCACGTACAGAGGGTGTTTGCTGCCGGTGTCTTTGGTAAGCTGCAAACCTTCTCGCAGCTCATACTCAGGGGCCAATCGTATGCGGATCAAGTAAATCTAATGATGGACTCACTAATCAATCGCCATGTGGCCCTAACGACTCCATTGTCAAAGTCCGAGTGGTTCACTGTGTGCCGTCTGCTGCAGTATTTAAGAGTTCTCCAAAAGACCTTCGAATCGAACCAAATCAATGTGATGCGGCTCATAAATTCCCTCGTCCAATGGCAGAAACAGAAGGTCTTCCATCTGCTGTTGAGCACAAAGAGGAAGATCGTGGATTTGAAGCTACTGCAACGAAAAATGAACATTCTTTCAACGATTAAGCTGGCCGAGAGATCCATCTTGGGGTTTCCCAGCAAAAAACGATTGACCTTTGTGAATCTGGCCCTTAGCGAGTTCTTGGAGAAGGATCGCCTGCTGCCGGCCGACATGCAAAGGCAATTTCAATCGATATTGTTGCGCATCAACAATCTCAGCGATTTTCAGCGAAACATCAAGGGACAGCTTGATTCGACCAGTCTCATGTATAATTACTGTTTTATTAGCACCTCCCTGCTCAAGGAGTACACAGAGCAGCAGCGTAATCCTTACAGCCTACAGGTACTGGCACTCACTCACAGGGCATTCTCTCAAGGCCTGGAACTAACCAGCCATATCTATAGAATATAATTGCAGTGACAAATCAACTGGACAAGACCCTGGGGATATTCGGGCGTGATGGTAGCTCCAAGCAATCGGCCTGTGACCTGGCCAATGAGTTTCTCAAGACCCATCTGGAGTTTTTTTTGCGTGTGGAGGCCTTGTCGCATCTGTTTTTGAACCAGGATCAACCGTTCCAAACGAATCTACTGGACTATCGCAGCTGTGTAAATGTTGAAGCTATGGAATTCCAAGGGGACTACAGCGTAATGAGAGGTACGTCCACATCAGAAGCCATTTTTACTGGACATTTGCTACTATGGAAATCCATTTAAAATCACCTATTTATATATATCTTATCGTACATGCCACACTACCTAAACAGACTTCTGCTGGTTGTTCTAGATAATCTTGAGAACTATTTCACTGAAACATTCTACAATTTAACAACCATCGCACCGCACGACTGGAAAACATACGAGAAGATGCGCCACTTTGCCGACAAAGTCCTGCAATTGAGTCCCATCGATGATCATTTGCCCAACCAGATCATCGACCAAGTAATACTACATTTCTCATAAAACAATTAAAGATGTATCACAGCTTAATTTTGGTCGAAACAGGGCATTGATGTACTGCAGATCATGCGTAATATCCATACATTCGCCTCCTCGTATGCCTACAACATGAATCTGCAGATCTTTGTGGAGATGCAGAGCAAGAGCAAGCATTTGGATATCATTGGCACCCGTCATGTGGCGAATTCAGTGCAAACGCATGGCACTGGCATCATCAATACCACCGTGAACTTTATCTATCAGTTTCTGCGCCAGAAGTTCTACACGTTCTCCACATTCCTGCACGACGAACAGATCAAGTCGCGTCTGTTGAAGGAGCTGCGCTATCACTCGGATCACAAGCATACCAACGAATCATATCCGTATGAGCGGGCGGACACCTTGCTCAAGAAGATCAAAAAGCTGGGTCTCTCCGGCAACGGCGAGACCTACATGGATCTGTTCAGAAAGGTGATAACACAAGTTGGTAGGTACTATTGGCCCCTCCAAAGAAAATAATCTATTATTAATAATGGATCTCTTTTTTTTTTGTAGGAAATTCTGTTGGATATGTGCGCCTCTTGCAGGCGGGCAGCAAGAGTGCCAACTATAAAAGTCGCTCGTACATGTCCAGATTCCATAGTAGCCTCGTTTGCGGTGGCAACAAAACCCTGCACGAGACCACCGAATCCGCCATTAAGGAGTACGAGAAGAGTGTGGGTCATATGAAGAAGTGCTACTCGGACAGCACCAACTACTTTAAGGTAAAGAAACGAGTTTTTCGATTTAACAACGAGATTTGTGCAATAAAGGTCTTCCTGCTTTGCAGCTGCTTTTGCAAGGCTTTCAGCCGTTTCTGTGCAATCCAAACAATCACCATTTGAAGACATTTTACCTGATTGCCCCGGCCCTCATAATGAACTACATCGACTACCGGGTCAAGGAGAAGCTGAAAATCCATAAGAAAGATCTGGCCAAGTTCTCGCTCTTTGAGGATGGCTTTGCCATTGGCCTTATATACATACTGACGATGCTCAATCAGCTGGGGGAGTTCCACGAGTTGGGCTGGAGCCAGACGACCAAACAGCAAATGGAATTGGAGCGTTCCAAGGTTCGTGACATACTGGCGGGCCAACAGTCAACGGATCCGGTCGATGAGAAGCTACTCCAGACGGTGGCCATCACCGAGAGGCATGTGAATGCCTACGAGCATGAGTACAATTTACTTTATGCTACACTGAGCAGTGCCGAAATATTCTTTCAATAAAAGTTGTTACTGTTAAACCCAAAAACCGCCTTACACAATATCTATCTAAGGGAATTCCCTTAACATACCATTCCAGCAAATTCGTATTAATATTTTCAATTCTCCTTCTCCTCCTTGGCTCTTTTCAGTTCATTTGTCCCCAACTAGTGCCAGCTTGGGGCCCAGACCCTTCCCAAAAAATTCTTGAACGTCGTTGCGTATTAGGATTTGGATTGTTGGGGGCCGTTTATTTATTTTGTTTATTAAGACGAAAATACAATTCTGATTCTGGTACATATCGTGTAGAACGTGTAGATAGTAGTTATAACTAACTAGCTTTTGAAAGCGCTTTATGCTAATTTCAATCGACAAACATTTTTGTTCTTTGATTAGACCGCTAGATTGTTTATAAACAGCGGCACACACAACAAATGTTGTGGCGGCCTCTTTCCAATGGAAATGTGGAAGTTAAACGGTTATTCGGATTTTTTTCAACTATTTTATTACTATTTATTACTCCGACATTTGAACTAGAATGAAATCTACAATACACACAACTCTCTCCCGCGAGACACAACGCCGGCCGGCAACTGCCTTTAGAATTGAGAGACGACAACCCGTAGAAGCTTCTTCTATATATCTATGGTATATGTTTCATCTTCTCTTATACGCTAGAAGCCAAACGAATATATCAGATATCTTCTCTTGCACTCAATTTTTTACGGCGTGCCAACCCATTATAATATACATATTTAAAGAATCTCTGGGAGTGCTGTCCCACTGGGGGAAACATTCGAACAAGGTCTATTGAAAATATTATTTCTTGTTGTATTGTATTTCGTAATATTACAAGTAATTCGTAAAAAAAATTGTTATGGAGAAAATGCAAATGGTTTTCGTCTTAACACATTTTTCCGCTTTTTGTTGTTGTAATGGTGTTGTTGTTATTGGATTTTGTTGTTGTTTTTGTTGCTGTTTAAAGAGAACCACTGTTAGCCACCATGATCTTCTTGGAGGTCTTGCCGGACTGAGAGCCAAAAGATTCAATCTTCTTGACAATGTCCAAGCCCTCAACAACCTCGCCGAAGACAACATGCTTGTTGTCCAACCAAGCGGTCTTCACGGTGCAAATGAAGAACTGGGATCCATTGGTGTTGGCGCCCGCATTGGCCATCGACAGAATGCCAGTGCCGGTGTGCTTCAGCAGAAAGTTCTCATCGGGGAACTTGTTGCCGTAGATGGACTTGCCGCCAGTGCCGTTGTGGTTGGTGAAGTCGCCTCCTTGGCACATGAAGTTGGGAATAACGCGATGGAAAATGGAGCCCTTGTAGCCGAAACCCTTCTCGCCAGTGCACAGGGCACGGAAATTTTCGGCAGTCTTGGGTACCACATCGGAGCGCAGCTGGAAAAGGTGTACAAAAAAGACACAGGGGTTATTGATTATTTATCTGAATATACATACATAAAACATTATATTCAAAACTTGTACCACCGAGAGAGACAGACAGTGAGAGAGAGAGAGGGTACACAATGGTGAGAGAAAATCAATTTTAAGTGATATTTTCTTATCAAATATATACATATGTACCCCCAAACATATGTACGTATGTACGTAAAAACTGTGGCAGACTTGAGGTGGCAAAGATATAGGAATCCCGTGGGAGCCTGGGCATCAAATTCCCCTGAAAACGTGCGCGGGCCGAGTTTCAAAATTGGCATCATCCCGCGCGCTCCCGCCCATTGCCATCTACACGCAATATTTCACGCATACATACACACATACGAACGTATATGTGTCGGTTTTATTTGTCATGCCGGGCAATGACTTGGCTGTTACTAAAAATATACTACGATGCAAATGCTAAAAACTCTCTGAATTAAAAAAAAAAAAAATGGTAATACAAAAAGAATGCACGTATGCCCTATTACATCATCAACGGAATTAATCTTGAGTTCATTCGTCAAACGGGTTTACTAGATTCTCATGCATACATGTATGCAGTATGTCCATGTGTGTGCGCCAAAGTAGAGGTTATGTTGCACTGTATTGATTGAAATGTGTATGGGCACACACATGCATACAGCGTACACCGCATGTACGTGTAGAAATACCGGCAAACTATTCAACACACGAACACGCGCACACAAACGTTTATGGAGCACCGCAATCAAATTTGAAAAAATTCCATTGCAACGTATCTAGAAATGCCTTTTTTGCACACACCTGGCCGTAAAATGGACATTCTAAATACATACACGCGAGGGCATTGTCATAAATTTAATTATTGGGTAGAGTCTATATGGAAAAAGGACATGATATCTATATTTAAGAGTAAATACCGAAAAGATAAAGCATGCTTCAAATGGAAATTACATACATATGTATGCATGTGTGTACACACACGCATATGTAAACCCGAAATTTGCTGAAATAGTTGTGCTATTTTATACCAAAATATGCAGATATAATGTAATTTTTAGCTTTTCAACAAATTACGAGTGCATTTAACCGAAACCGTTTCATTTACGATCTGTAAATCACGTGTTCAAATCTAAGTGCACGTTAACTTTCTACCTGAATATATGTACGTTTGCATACACATGCACACACTTAAGCAAATTAACACTACAAAAAAAAAAAAAAAAAAAAACTTGAAATGATATTCCTTTCCTTGGCACATTTAAAAACTAAGTCAACTTACCTCCATGATAATCCTACCGAGGGGCTCCCCATCGGCGGTCATATCGAAAAATACTCTAGGCAAAGTACTCATTTTCGACGCTCTCGAATATTCGCGAACAAACTGAATTCCAAACTGCAACTGACCTCTGTTCCCGGTGTTCGCTGACGAAGCTAGGGTTATTTTCTTAGCTAAAATGGCGGACTCTGCAATCTGAAATGCCGCCGACTTGTGGTGCCGAATGTGTCGTACCAGAGTTGCACCGAAAAAGACCATCGTGTATGACCGCGTGTATGTTACTACACGAGGTTACATTTTCGGCAATCGTCCGATTCCACTCCGCGCATGGGTGTTATATCATCTTAGGGCAGCTACAAACAATGGCCCCCAAAAAATCAATATTACAATACATATTTTTAAATTAATATTTTTATATTCCGTTTTTATTTAATTTCATTTTTTTGAGTTGTAGATAATACTGATCCATTTTCAAAATAAATTTCACACCATAAATCGTTCCATTCCACAATCTATGGTGTAATGAAATAGTATGTTTAAAACTGCCTCTAAAACAACCTAAAAAAAGGTTTTATTTTTAAGTTTCATATTCCACCGGACTTGGCTCTTGTGCCATTTATTAAATTTCCTTTATTTTATATATAAACAGGAATAAATAGTAAGACAATAGTCCTACAATATTATGGAACATATATTACTATATAGTAGTAAATCATGGTAAGATTTGTCGTATTTTTACGCTAATATTGTGTTTTTTTCGACAGCTTTAACAATCACACTCGCTGTCAGCTGATTCTGATTTACTTACACATTTTAAGAGCTATTGTAGAAATACCACTAATGATTTTATACGCGATACTTAATTTGATGCTAATTTTGCTATATCGCATATCATGTATATCCGATTACAAATTATAGACCAGTCAAGTACAAAATTGATTCACTAATAATATTCGACGGAATATCATAATCGAGGAGTATGGTTTCCAATCCATAATTTTAATGCAGTCCAGGTGAAAGATATAGTGGTTTTTCTTTAAGTTCAGAGGCAAGATGGCGTGAATCTACAAGAAGAATTTACAATCGTTAATATTTTCCGCCATTTACCGTTGAACTATTTGAATAGAGGGGGCTTAAGTGGGCTAAGACAAATCCGCGGAATTTTATCGATGTTTTTCAAATAACGTATATACTTATTTTATATACAGACTAGAAACTCTCAATATTCCGTTGTCCCTGCAAGAAGCTATTAGGGTTTAACGCTCGGATTTTAAGTCCATCTACCACATTATATTCCCTTTCTCTTATTAAATTACAAATACTCACGTACTTTTCCCGTATTTAGGACATTTCTTAGTAATTATATTTTGAATGCATGCTTAGTTCTTTTAGCAATTTGCCTCGATATTAGTCTAGATAGAAAGAATATGAAAAATAGCTTCTCTGCATGTTCCTGTTTGGTTCGTTTAACGCGCCGCGCGTCATCTGATCTGATGATCAATCATCGATTACATCAATGTTAACATCGATATTTCTCCAGCTTTTTGATTAGTGAGCTATCAAACTTTCATAAAATATTTTTTTCAAAATTTCATACACTGACAATAATTAGGTAGTGAATTCAACAGAAAAGGTGCACAATTTACGAGAAATGCGTTAAAACTGTTGGGAACTGGGGATATATAAAAAAAATCAACCGCTAAATTAAATAAATATGTTCTTTTGTTTTAAGTTTGTATTTAAATTTACATTTTGTGTCCATATATCCAGAATATATATCTAACAAAATTTGTATAATTTCGTGTTCTTTACAATCGCACAAAGGAATTTCCGCTATTATGGTGCTATAACACATATATATGTAATAATAAATATTGTTTGTTGAGTATATGTATTATATGTACATATCGATACAACGCTGGAGGAGGAGCAGCAACCCACAGCATAATGAAAGCTTGTCTTAGGAGCTGGCAGAAGGCCGCCTGGCCGCTATTTCATTCGCCGTGGAGTCGGAAGGCACGGCAGCATACTCATGGACATTGGATGTGACTGTAGTATAACAAGATCCGCATAGCCTTACGGGATTGAAAAGCTTTTCATACGGCAGAGGGGCCCAAAATTCAGAGCAGTCAGCACAGAAAATTTCTCCACATGATCTGAAATGAAAGCACAAGCAATTATTAAAGTAGAAGACAAAAGTATAACTTTGCATGGACTCAAGAAATATATCGTTGAAGTTAATGGTTGTAAAATAAACAGATTTCAGAAAAATTTCTTGGATTATAATGATATATATGTATATGTATATATTCTTGATTAGCACTAGTCTAGTCATGTGTCTCAGTTTGAAAACCAAATTTATGGGCCACTATCCTTGTAGAGGGAGATTTAAAAGAAGAATTGTTTTAATCTATGTATAAATTGTGGGAATAAGTAAGTAGTCTTAAAATTCGAACAACAAGGATTAGATTGTTAAAAAGCTATAAAAAGGTATGAGAGAAATTTGTTATTTTTTTGTTTGAAAAATAAAAATACCAAAAAGAAAAACTACGTGTATAGTGTGTATGAGTGTGTAGGTATTACTGAAAGGAGTAATGCGCACCGACAATGATGTTTTCTTCGTCCAAGCCAGAACTCAGTTTGACAACTGGAGCAACGTGAAACGGCATGATCTGGTACCCAGAGAACGCTGGTGGCTTTTTTCTCTTGTATCGAAGATGGGGCATACGATGAGGGGCCACTACGCTCTTCGACGGCCTCCCAAGAACACGTCGAAGCATTTTCAACGATATCCGATCCGTTTTCCTAAAGGAGATTCAAATCATTAGACTGTGGAAGGCTGCAAAAGTTTATACAAAAAACACACACAAAATAATATACGATCTGGAGACCTCCTACAGCCCGAAATACACTATATATATTATCAAATATACTGATACAAATGGCTAGACCATACGTTAGCCTCTCGCTATCTCAAGAATATACTCAAATCTACATATGGTTTTCTACAATTTCTAAACCAGATTTAAGGGCAATTACATGTTCCACATTTGTTGAGACGATGCTGTTGCAACTGGGACAGCCCTTTTCCAAGAGAGCCAGCCGCATTCCATGTATTTCCCTCAGTAGTACCTCTTCGCGTTGCTATAAATATAAACACCAATCAAAGATCAGATCAGTAAGCATTAAGAACTTCAATTGGAGTAGCTATTACCTTGTGCTCTTGCACAATTTGATGAAGTCTTATGTTTTGTTCACTTAGGCCATGGGCCAGGCCATCGGGACAGGATATTGTGAATTGCGGGCGTTCCTGAATACCCAGTGGTGTCGGTGGCAATGAAATTAGTCCACCCGCCACTGGGAAATTATGTGTGCTGAAAAGTACACATATTTAGTTTATTATCCTATATCTATTGGATGCATTCAGGCGACTCTCTCACCTGCCATTTTCTGCAAATTTAAAATGCCCAATATCCCGGCTGTAGCTTGAACCAAAAGTATTCCTGCGTGTTCGACTACCCAGCGTGGGCGGTAGCTCAGGTGACATGTACAGGCATTCATCAGCAGCACTTTGGTTATGGCCATCAATCAACGAGCCATTGGCATTAGTTTGTTCCTCCTTGCATCTGCTGGGCACATGCAAATCCAAATGGTGCGGAAAATGTGCATTTGCCTCTTTCTTTTGCGCCGTATTCGTGCAGCGTGCAGCAGTAGCATTCGTATTAGTATTCGTATTCGTAATCGGCCTTATGTGTACCCGAGGCAAATTGTTATAGCTCTGACTGATTTTATTGTTTGCTGTGGGAGTACTTGGGACAGCGACTTGTGCTACTCCTTCATTTGGTTTTTTGTCCGTGCTTATCACGTGATTCTCCAAAGGCGCTACGTGGTGGTTATTGTCAGATTTCGTTTGTTGCACGGCCTCTGTAGGAATTAGGGTATCTGTACTAGTATCAATCGGGCCATGCCAAAGAGTGCGGCTTGTATCACTTCTCTCTTCTTGTTCTCGATCTAAATTGAAGCAAAAAAGATTTCTTAGAATGAGAAAGAACAGATTTGTATAGGGCTAACCGTTCGATAGGGCATGGACAGCGTTTGCGGCTTCAGAGTTTTGGGACTGAGAGGGCTCTGGCACTATCGCTGCTGTTGTTGCTGCTGCTTCCAATATTATATCACGGTTAGAAGCTGTACTTTGGTCGTTTTTAAACTGCTTGGAGGTACACTTTGTAGAGCAACAACTGGCATCTGTCTCGTCTTCGGCCTCCTTACGCTTTACCTCTGGTTCTTTGGAGTCTTTAACATTATCATGGACATTATTTGCACTAACACACTGCCTCCTGTCTGCCTCCGATCGTATATCAAACATCGAGTTACTATTCACATTCAGAGCGCACTCGGAAACACTGTAAAGGGTAGTACAATTAGTTGCTGCTCGAGTGTCGGATGCTTTACAATACTCACATTGATTCTACGGTCAAATTGGGATCACTCGATCTCCTCGAAATGGTGCTCTGTCCCAATTCATTTGTTGTAAGATCTTCAGAGGATCGTGTTTTTGTCAACGAACCTAAATGGTGGATATTAATTGATTAGAGTAATGGCGTTTTGTTGGATTTGTATCCTAATTTGAGTTATCTTTTAGCAAATTTCTCCTAAACGAATGAAACAAACATTCACCATTCACCAATCAGCCGGGTGATTCTGGTATTTTTTCGATACAATACAAACACTGAAAACAATAAGCTTTGTCTGATTTTGTATCGAATTTTAGTTATATTTTGCAAGATTTTGGTGTTTTTCAATTAAGTCGTTTTATATCTCTGTATCACGTCGAATGATATTGATTTTTTCTAAAAACAAGCAAAACAAAAACAAACAATTAATTCTTAATTATTATTGCTTATTCATTGTACGATTGGACAGCTCTTACAGTGCAATCCACATGTTTTTATATATAATTATCCATAGCATAATTATCCTCTTTTTAAACAGCCTTCATAATATTATATTTGACCTAATTATGGAATTTTTCTAACTGTTCTATCTTTAGCAATCTTTCGAAATACTTTTGGTCGTTTTTCTGTATTTTTAACCGGTATTTTATTGACCTTGTCTAAAAAATGGGACAATTTTCGTATGAAAAATATGTTTTCGCCAGCTAGAAGTTTATCTTGTGTTAGTACTAGGTTTTAAGATACCATATACCCAAAATCGAATACCATAAGAAATAAAAAGTACCAACGATATGCCCAATATACGATGAAAACCAGAAT